AGCTACTTTTGCTTAATCAAACATTCTTTACACAGACTAAATCTTATAAGCTAATTCTGCTGCTTGAGGATGTTGAACAATGTGCTGCATCAAGTCCTCAAGGAATACTTCTCTGTTGTTAATAATGTTTCCTCAGACAACTACAGTTTTTCCTCCTTGGAAATTATGCACAGGACAAACCCAGGAGTTTTGAGTGCTTTGAATATTTTTCCATGATATCCAGATGTCTGGCACCTCACTGAAGCAGTAGCTTCAACCGTACTCCTGAAAACACTTGACAGATCCATTTTTTCTGTGCAGATCACTTTTACAGCCATATTCATATTTAAAGTGCTTCAGAGAATCTACACGCACGCACACCCAGATATGGCACAAAGCCCCTAAATAAGAACTTCTTTAGCCTTCTATATTGGTCCATGTTGTAAATAACAACATATATGTGTTTATGACATAAACCAAAATTCTGAATATCACAAAGAGAAGATTAAAGAAGAAAGTGATAATGAATGTATGTAGCAACTTGTTTCCTTTTAACTTAATTAGCTGCTCATTAAACTCAAATCCATAGAAAAAMGGTTCCTGGTGTGGTGAAATCTCATCTCTGCTTTAAAAGCCATTATAACATATACTTGTACATTTATTTCTACTTAGAAAGCTTATGAACTGGAGTTCTGTGAGGTACTATCTAGGAAACTCCTTCATTTTCTTCCTAAGGAAAGTACTCAATACAAATGCAAATTCTACTTTCTATCAACTTTGATTTAATCTTAGAGAAGGGTAAAAATTAAGTCATATTACAAAACACCTTGAATCAATACTTTTATTTGCAGTAAATTTTTTTACCATTAGTTTTTTAGAGAGAGAATGAGCACACAAATTGTTTTACCTAAACATGAACATCAAGATGCATGCATTTAAAAATATGAGACTTAAAATAACGTAAACCAAACAAATACTTTACAATACAGACACTATATTAAAAAAAAAAAAAAAAAAAAAAANCCCAGAGATAGAAAAGTAGTTCTTGAAACCAATTACTTTCAAAACGATCCAATAAAAGTATTCATTTCACTGATAAGACTATTGTGGAAAAACATGTAAGTGTAATACACCATCTAATGAACGCATTTACTGTCCTGGGTCACCGAATGCACGCATGTACCAATAACACCATGACAGATTTCCAAGATTGACCATCAGGATTCATATTTTCTTGCTTTAAGAGGCAAAAACATTAAATTATTAAGTCCCAGAACAAAAGAACAAATTACATTACATACCATTAAACAGTGTACTGTAAGCAAAGACAAGATCATTTTTCTTGGCATTGAATCATTTGCAAAGGTCATTTGAATTCATAAATACATGCTCCAAATTCAATTAATGAGAAACATAAGTTAGTGAAATTTAGAAGTTACATTTTGTTTTGACTTATTTTCTACCCAAGTCCCTTCTGTCTCTATTTAAGATTGCACACTTTATCTTAAGACAATTCTGCCTAGGAAAGGGTGTTYCAAAAACACATTCCTCACAAGTGCTTAACTGTCAGTACCAGTCTCCCTACCCCTAAAAATCAGCAACACACTTCTTTCTTTCAACTTCACTGCACAGAGAAGCCTCAAGAAATAAAGTGCTGTACATATCATATGTGATCTCACGACATATTACCCAASAGAATAGAAAAGTACTGGGATGAAACTGCCTGTCAGCTTCCTGAAAAATGTAATGGATGTCAAAATATCTCTTCGAATGAATGTTTACAGAAATTGTGACTCTAACAAATTGAGGAGCAGTGACCAGAAACCTCATGKGATAGACAYTGGGGRGATACCTGTCTGGGATACCTGTCTGGGAYACCTGTCATACGGAATGTCTAGAAACAGAGCCAGCTGATGAGGGACTGAACACAATGTGTACTTCACAGAATCTTCTTCAACCCTCCTGGCACACTGGGGCAGTTCTCAAGCATGTGAACAGAGACCTCTCGGTGTGGTTCTGCTGCCCCTCCTCTTCCAAAAGYCCCCTGACAGGTTATCCCTGCCTGCAGGATTTTCTAGCACAAGCAGCACTTAYTGCTTTCCTCACAGCTCTCAGAAGCAAGAGTAGCAATTGCTCTTTCAGCCTCTAGCTGACAAATGATTAAAGAGAAATGCCCTGATTTTGCCAAATCACATCACAAGGCTCTTGCTACTTTGTTATAGACAAGACATTACTATTTACGGGTGTTACGTGCAAACATAAAAAGACTGCCTATTCAGCTATGCCTGCAAGCTGATGGAAATTAATATAGTCTGCAAATGGATTGTGTAGMAATAAAAGCAAAGATTGTTAACAAATAAAATGTCAGTGTGTTGTAAAAGAAAAAAAAGTCTAACGAATAAAAGGAAGATGAAAATGGTGATTTGAAAATACTAATCAAATCAGAAAAAACACTTTCCCGTGGTATCAGGTGATAAAATCATCAATACCCCTTGCCAGAAAATAACTATCTGACAAAGCTCAATTTTATATCAGTGATATAGCTAAATGCCATTTTCCTATATAAATTTCCAGCCTGAGGTACTCTCCTGTCGATCAGGCTACAGTTATGGAATAAGTCTTGACATAAAAGTTTCTGCTTGTGAACTTCTGAGCAGCTGTCATTCTAGACCAGAATGCCAGGAAACTCACCTCATTTATGACATAAATTTTCACCAAAACCTGATATATCTTTCACCCACTAAAACTGCTGTGTCACGCTTGTTTCTTTTTTCTTTAACTTTTTTTTTTGTACTGGATATCAACTGTCTGTTATTGAATTTCCACCAAGTGATTATAAATACTGTTGCCACCATCCAGTTTTTTTCTGAAGACAAACTATAGCCCATCTCCATTGAGTGTCTTTTACATACACCAGACAGAATTTCAGCTCTGTAGGAAACTTCATTCATTACAAGAATTTTAAGCTACATTTGATACACTGACCATACAACCATATAAAATTGTTTGGAATTTCATGCTGATTTTATAGAAAGTACAGTTGTTTTCAATTTTGGATGCCCATCTCTAGGTTGGTTTTTTTTTCCTCTTTCTGGCTTTAATCTGATTTCTTTCCCAGTTACTTTGTGGTCTATTCAAGTCTTCTCTTAAACCTCTTCTGAACTTGTCTGGGCATGCTTTAGATAAAGCAACTGAAGAACATAGTTTACATTTTCATTTTTAAATCTGGGATATTTAAGACCTTGCTGAAGCTTGGCCTTCTGAATTTCTCCTCATCAACATCTTCTTAATTTACACATGCCTTTAAAGTAATTTTGGTTATTAGAGTATGAAAAGAGTATTTCAATGAAACAATCTGTGAATAAGAATTTTCTCTTTCCCATCCTATTTTGGTGACTTTTTTCTTTTCATGAATAGATATTGAAAGGATTAAAACCCATTACTTCAAAAGGAAGCACATAAGAATAGACCTGCTCACTTAAAACAAGGAAAGACATTGCTGCCTCAACTGCAAATAAAGTAGAAAAACAAGTATCTCAAACCAAAATAAAATAAATCCAGCATGTTAGAATGGACAATCTACCTCAGAAAAAAAAAACCTAAAATAAATAATGTAAAAATCGTAACAATAATAATATTGCTTTGGACAAAACCTTGTGGCATTTCCTTTTTTAAAGTAGTAGGATTTCTTACTACTGTAGCTGCAGCCAAAATCAGCTTACTCAAGGTAATCTCAATTCCTATTAGTATGACTTGTTTTAAAAACTAATTTTAAATCTTTCATTTTCAAAAATTCTTCATAAATAGAAAACTCAAACACAGATTTTTTTAAAAAACTCTTCTTAAGTTAATGGCCAGCACAGGCAAAAGAACAAATGCACATAAGCTGTCACTGAAGAAATGCAGATTGCAAATTACTACGAAGTCTCTAGCCATTAAAATAAATCAAACTCTGGAACAGCCTTCGGCAAAAATACYGGGGGCAAAGAAAGAACAACTCCAATTTAGTACTGGCAAAGTTTATGAAAAGAGAATTAACTGATGCAATTCCCAGGCTAGCAGAGCACTGGACTTGATGACCCAGAGATCCCTTCCACTGTTATGTTCTTTGTTTGGCTAAATGCAGATGTTCATCTGGTTTTTAGCCTCACTGTGGTTTTTCTAAAGTGAAATTTAAATGAAAGTTAATACAATTTTTGTAAGTTTCGGTTACAAATTGCCCTTTGTAAGAACTATTGTTAGGCCTGCAGCAGAACTGAATTTGTCAAACCATTCTAAAATCTTTTCTTAAAGCCTGGCTTAGCATTGTTAGAAGTATAAATGTTCTGAGATAAATGCCCAGCMGTGCACACACCATGAGAAGTGATCTGGTAAGGAAAATGGGAAGAATAAAAATAAGTGTATGTGCTAAGACTGATACATCAGTAACAGCAAGGAGAAAAGCAAAACAGAACATGAAGTAAGTTCTCAGGGCAGCCTTTAATGATTTTCAAATACACGTATCTTTACAGCTCCGATCAGTCATAAAAGCACACAAAGGTCAAGCAAATACTTTATCTTATTTCAGACACCGTGGTCTGTTTTCTATCACTCRCAAGTTCTAAGGTTTACACTCTTTCAAGGAGATGATACTGCTRCACAAGACTTCAAAATAAAGGCTTTACACAAATTCTGTGAACCTTCATGGCTAACTACATATACCAAATGAAACCCTGATCCTGATAAATTCTAAGTTACCCTGATTCTCTGAAAATAGAGAAATTACTTATACTGACATCACAACTTCAGTTCAAAATTATCACCATACAATTTTTTTAAGTGGCTGCATGCAGACATAATCAGAAAGAGATTTTTCTAAAGTCTAGCCCTTTCTTCACACAAATACACCTAACTCTTCAAGAATGATTGCTGCAGATTTTCAACAAATATGGAAATATTACAGAATATTAGTTCAACTAAGCCATCTAAGTTGACTGGAGAACAACCAACCATTTTACAGCCCTTACTGTGTACCTTTGCAGGTATTCTAGAAATCCGTACAGTGGCAGTTGGAATAGTGGCAATCAAAGGAGTGGAAAGTGAATACTTTCTGGCAATGAACAAGTCAGGACGACTCTATGGAAAGGTATGGATGCAAACGTTTCTTACATGTAAATCTCTACAATCTTAAAGCTATATATTTCTAACTGTAGCACCTGTATGCTTTTCATATAACAGATTCCTAACTAAGTAAAATGTATTCTGTACTTATCTTGCATATCCCATATTAGAGTGTCATGTCTGTTTAATAAATTCAGTTATTAGGTCTTATACATACTTCTTCAAAATGTGGAATACTAAGGGGGAATAGACAAAGCTAAAATATTCAATACTCAGATTTCAGAAGTCAATTTTATTTTTAAAAATATTCATAGTATGAAGGGTCTATAAAGCATATTATTCTCCTTTCTTCCCTAATCTAAGTATTTTAAAAGACACTTGTATTTACCTCATCTTATTTTATTATTTCCTCTCAACAGAAAGTATGCAATGAGGACTGCAACTTCATAGAATTGATTGAAGAAAACCATTATAATACATATGCTTCTGCAAAATGGACACACAAAGGAAAGGAGATGTTTGTTACACTAAACCACAAAGGGGTTCCAATGAAAGGTAAAAAAACAAAGAAAGAACACAGAGCATCCCACTTTCTTCCTCTGGCAATATCTTAATCACAGATGGTCTATAAAGAACTAGTTCCAGCAGGAAGATTAATTTTAAGAAGACTGTTTGACAAGATATCAATAGAGGCTGGAATACTACTGAGAAACTGAACAAGCTGGACTTGCGCATTTATGTTTATTTTTAAGAGACTACATGAAAAAGATTTGAAAATATACACAAAACCAGATTTACTAACTAAAAGTTGTAAAAAATTCTAAAGAGTTGTACAATCATTATCTTAGTCATTGTAACTGGGTAGTTTCTTAAATTAATTTACCCTGAAGAATAATTCATTACTTGATTATCTGATAATATTTTATTTAAAAAACTATCTGCTTCTTAAATATGGCTGCTATAATAATAAWAAGCAGATGATAATGTTGTGTAAAATATGTCAGACTTTAAGGCTGCTGGAATGAGTTGTCAGATTATCAAGTCAATAGAAAATGTGGAGGCTGAGCAGTATTTTAAATACTTCCCCCAAGAAACTGATATCCTATACATAAACTATATGATCAAAAAATATATAATCTTGTAAATGTTTATTGTTGTATTCAGATAAGAGAGTTAGTTTGAAAAAATTAAGTTTACTCTAACACAAAATGTTCCTATCTATTAATGAAACAAATACCTAATGCTGCTCTAAAAGATGTTTCAAATAGTGTATGTAAAATAAAAATAGGAATAAATAATGTACTTCATCTCACTTTTCACAAATTAACATTTTATATAACAATGAAGCAAAAATTCAGACATATTAAGGTTTTTCATGTAACATATCCTATCTTTTGTATAATTCCTGTTAGGGCAAACAGCTTTCAATATTGTTTTTCCATTCTTATACATGCTTCTTCTGTTGTTACAGCATTAAACTTTATTTTAAGTTGTATTTGAACTTATTGTTTTAAGTTATTTAAATGTTATTTATAAAAAAAAAACGATACTTATTAAGCTGCATCTGTTTCATATGCTTTTAATTCTAAAGGAATAACAAAATGGTCTGGCTGAGATGCATGAATTTTTTTCTGTGACCAGACACAAAGACTAGTACACAACCCTCCTGCCAACATACATTGGATGGCAGACAAAAATGACAGCCTGCAGCAAATCACACAATGGACATTTCAAAAGAAACAATGCAAAAATTTTAAAAATCTATGTCACATACTCTCRATAATTGAATTACTGGCATGCTCAGAGTTATGTCAGGTAAAAGAAGGTTATAGTTCCAGCAGGAACTGGAAATAATCTTCAGATGGTAGAACCTCCACTCACAGACACAGAAGTATGTGCAAGTCTATGTGACTRGTTTGAAACTAGCGCTAAAACCAGCGTCACCTGATGAAGAAAAGACATGTTAATTTTCTATCTAAGTGTTCAGCTAAGCCCTACCAGAGTTATGCATTATATCCTTTCTTTCTGTTCAGTTTCCTGACACGTTTTCTTGGTATTGTGATAATTTCACTTAGATAAAGATCACCAAAAAACTAGCTAAAGCAGCTGACACAGGACTGCGAGAGGGTCAAGTTAATTTAAAATGGTCTTAAATGCTCTGCTTTGAATAACAAGTGTCTAGAGCCAACCATTTCTTCCTACATGAAGCACTTTTAAGAGCACTCTAGAGAAAATGGTGACAATTTCCTATGACAAATATTTTYTTAAAACCAGCTTGTTTAACAAATAGTGCCATTTGAAAATCAATTATGATATTAGTAAGTCAAAAATCAAAGAATATGAGAACAGATCCATGCAGAAAAATTTGTCAATACAGCTCCATCAGTAAACCTTCAGTGTGCTTTTGCTAGTTTATTTATCACTTGTTCACTGAACACAATAGACTGTACTATGACTGAAGCTTTCTTGCTGTTACCCTCTCTGCACTACTTTTTATGAATATATAAACAGTGAAACAAAGTTCACACTCATGATCCACAGTAACAGCAGAACTTTCTATATCTAAATTTGGTTAGTTGAAGCTTTGAAATAAAAATAACAAAACCTYGATAAGATTGTTTGTGTTTAAAAGCTTTACTGAATTTTAATTAAAATGTATACATGCACGTCAATATATAAATATATATGTAAAAAGATCTTAAAACCAGATGCAGACAGGCTCTTTTAAATGATCTTTTGATTGTGTGATTCAAGAATATAGAAAAACAGTTGAACAAATCCTGAATCCAAATTGTAATTAGCCCTCACTGCTAAATGCTTTTATAACAAATCATTATGTTACCATCATTATCAGGTAAGCCAAGGCTGCTTTGTGTTTTACAGGTGTCATAACTGAAATGTGTTCCGTGAGAGAATTGTGCCTAGAAAGACACCTGAACTGCTAATGGTGCAATTTGTCAGTAACACAGTCATACATCCTTACCACTGAGCAATTTTCAATGTATCTTTATGACAGAAAATCTCTTCTGAAATACTKACTCAAAAAAAATTCTGTTCATTGCTAAAACCGGAGAATAATAATAATAAAAAAATGATGGTGATCATCTACAGCAGCAAATTATTAAAAGACAAGGAGAATAAGAACAATCGAATAGATTTAAACAGGAATTTTAAAAGATGCCAGAAATCTTCACAAAAGTCTATTACAATTACATCACAATTCAACRCAATCTTAACAGCAACATGCAATATGCCATGTACGAGGAAAACATGTTTATACTAAAGAAACATAGACCTGTCTGGAAATGGTTCATTACTAACCTTCATAATACTAAAAGTTCAAGAAAACCCAAGCAAAGAGGGCTATAAAAGCCAGCATCAAGTGTAATTTCTTTGTTTTTCTTCAGAGACATTAGCTTCCATGTACATTTTCCTTTGTTTTCCACTGTCACTACACAGTGTCTCCAGATGGGTTCAGAAGTGAAATATAAACTCCTGTGGTCAGGGCAGCACCTACAACAGCCAGTCAAGTTTCACAGAAACTGCTCCATTACACGGGCTCTTTTACTAGAAAAGTTTTACTTACTTTTCTATTAGTGCTAATAAACATTCCAGGACATAGAAAAGAGCAAATCTCATCTGAGGAATCTCAGAGAAGACTGCAGAATGTCCATTCTTGGAGGTTTTTAAGATCTGACTGGACAAAGCCCTGTACAACCAGTGTGGGCCCTAATTTGAGCAGGAGATTGGACAAGAGACCTGCTGTATTCTCCCAACCTAAATGAATCTAGGATTCCATAGGAAAGTTATTTTTCTTGAAACAATCCCTTCAAACAACTACACAAAACGTTTTCTGTGTTAAGGGGATAATTACACATTTGTCTCATAACTTGTGAGTCCTTAAASGTATGCAAAATGGTGTAAATACATGCCATAACACAATAAAAATGACAACTGGACAATATCCATGACCTTTAAAATACATTATATGGTACAATATGGTCTCACTTTTAGTTCTGTTGCAAGTACTTTAAAACATGCCTCCGCATATCATCTGTAATAATCACATTACTAAATGATCAATTAATTATTAAAATACACTTCTCTGTGTTTTAAATAACCTTTTTACGGAAATATGTATATTCTCTCTGAATAAGCTAAAGCAAAATGTAAGTTGACATTAAATCAATAAAGTAATGAGAACATTAGTATTTCATTGCACTCAATGACCAGTATCTAATACTTCATAAGCCTATGAAATCTATATCCTCACTACTACCTTTTCAAATACCATAATGATTTCATAACATTCAACATGTAGAAAAAGGAAATGACAGATTAGATGATTCTCCCCAAATCAGGAGAACAGTCCAATTCAGAGTTGAGATCCATACTTGAAACAATATTATTTTTTTAACTAACATTTAATAACCAAAAAGTAAAAAAGGAAGTACAATTCTTTAAATCGCAAGGTGAGTTTTAAAAGGTAGCAGTTATTTAAATCACATATACMCTTAATACAGTGGAGAAAGTGACTTTACTAGCAGAAAAAGAAGCTAAATTCTCCATGCTCTTGGTAGAATAATTCTGAAGATTAGAACTGTATTTAAAGCAGAAATTCAGATGGGAAAAATATTCAAACAGTTGCACAAGGTTTTTAACATGACATTTATATTAACTGTAATATTTCCCCAGAAAAATATCTATAAAAGCTTTTTAACACCACACATTGAAATTCATAAAACCGCAGAATTTAATTATAAATATTTGGGGGATGAAGGGATTAATATAGTATTAAAACTACCAAGTGTTAAGTCCTGAGCTCTGCATATAACTTTACAACACCTGTCTGAGGAAAGCTAGGTTGTAAATCTCAAGCATTCCAGACACTGAAATTCCATAACTGCTTACATTCCAGGCCTAAAAAGGGAGATTTTCTTCAATTCTGTTTGGAAGGCTGATCCTAGCATACCMAGATTGGTTGTTTCATTAGGGAAACTCTTTTATTTAGAGGCCTGGCACTTGAAAAGATTGGCTAATACAGAGGGAAAAGCAAAATTACTCATTTCAGATGAAATTACCTTCTCATGAAATAATTATTTTACTTCAGTCTTAACCAGAAATGCAGAGGAATAGAATGAAGATGCATAAATAACAGAAAGGTTATGTCACATTAAKTTAGCCYGGCTCAGTTCTCTTGGCACMCTCCCTTCAGGAATGCATATGCATTGCTAAGTTTACCCCTAAGCCTTCTCATCTCCTGGCTAAACAGTCCCATTTCTCCATCGTTCCTCATGGGAGAGACACATCAGTCCCTAATCCCCTTTGGGGCACTCCACTGGACTCTCTTCAGTATGTCCATGTYTCTCCTGTACTAAGGAGCCCAGCACTGAACACAGTACTCCAGGTGTGGTGTCACCAGTGCTCGGTAGAGCAGAAGAATCACTTCCCTATTCTTCCAGCTAATCCAGTATTATCTTTATTACCCCTAGGAATGCTTTATATGATGTTATATTGTATCATTTTAATCAGAATTCAGGACAAATTCCCTTTACAGTTACAACTGGCTGTCCAAAAATAAACAGAATTTACTATTACCTTGGACAGCACCAGTTTTGATGGACAAGAATCCAGTTCTCAGCTAGTGACTGCTGAAATTTCAGGGTTCATCTACTTCATYTATTGAAACCACTCTCTGCTACAGATGGCTTCTATAATTTTCATCAAGCCACTTTCAATGCCCTCTTTGATAAGTAAGAAAAACAAGCTCAAGTCTGGTACACACTGCTAAAACATCAACCACAAACAAATTACCTGACTAATGAAATTATCTGACTCATCACACCAGGGCAGCAGAGGAGCTGCAGCTGTTTGTACCCACACTCATAGCGACTTCTGTTGCTACACAGGACACCCCTGTGCCACAGGAAGATCAATATCTCTGGTCACCTGGKTGAAGAGGGTGAGTCTGTTTATGTCTGCTGGAGCTGCTCTGACATTATTGCACAGCACAGGAAAATGGGAGGAAGTCATTAGAGGAAAGGGAACATTTGAAAGCCATGGACACTCGATTCTTGTGTAAGATACATTAACATGACAGCTAATTGGCCTATGCACCCTATTCCTATTGATTTCACCAAACACCAGGCACAAAAGTGGATCTGGACAAGTAACTAACCTCTCAGTGGTCATGGAAGAGAAAAGTGATTATTAAACAAAACTGTGAGCACCCTGAAAGCCTAAAGCAGTAAGGCAGATCACTAATGGGAGGGCTAAAATAGTAAGGCTTCTCCCTTTTATTTTATTGTCASAGGAAAAAACAAGTCATTATATCTYGGCAAGAAACATCAAGCTCCAGTGATTTCAAAATTATTGTCATTAAAACATGCTCTCTGAGATCAGAAGTGCTGATCAACAGCTGAGGTGATTCACTGAACCTGCTTCATGAATAAGCACTTTCTGCTCATCTTCATATTCTTTTCATATATTAGTTAAGTATCATGAGCTAAAAGGATATATGATTATACTAGAATGAAACCATTGGAATTTATAAAAATCAGACAAATGTTTCCACTGAGTTTAGGTTTTTGGGTTTAAAAAATACTCAAATGTTCCTCTGTTCAAAAACACAGACACATTTCTGTTTCTAAACACTGTACTGTAAGCTGAGCAACACACAAAAATGGATTCTGTAAACAAGAATTTCCTTTCAAGACTGTAACTTGATGAGAGTAAAGAGACTTTCAATTTTAAAGAAACCACATTAACTCTACTTTTAAAGAAACACTAAAGTAAGAAAAGGAAAATTATTCAGGAAAGCTAACAGGCAATACATAATGACAGTAAGAAAGTTCACTTTATGAAGTCACAGCTGTGCATAGCCAATATATACAAAGATTCTATAGGGCTGTATTCATTTGTAGAGACCAAAACCTTCCTCTAGGCCTCAAGAGGAACTCTCCTCTTTGCCTAGGTAGTCTCATACAGTTCTTTCACATCCACACTACAAGAGAAAACTTTGTGGAAATCATGGCAAGAACACTTCCATTCCTCTGACATGTCTGCAGTACCTCATTAATTCAGGATTTCCTGGCTASAGCATGTTGCAAACCTTCTCTCCTTAACATTAACAGACACAAGAGACAACCCACCATCTTTTCCTAAGCACTTCACTTAATTCTAGAGATAATCTATCAGAATGGTATCATTGAAAATGGAAGGGGCTGGGGACTGGCAATGCAAACTTGCAAATTCCCGCTCAGATATTTTTCCCTGAATTATTTTGCAACAAAAATAAGGCTTTCCTACCTTGATGAATTACCTAAATTCAGAAAAAGAACATTAGCCCATGAAAGCAAAAAGAATGAGTGGGGGAAAAGGCAAGATAGGGAAAGTTATGGTTATGGTTGGTGCAGACTGACAAAAAGAAGTAAAATTAGTCAGCATAAAATTGTGGTGGTAGATGCTTTAAGGAAAACAGTAATTTCAGGAAGGAGGAAGAGAGAAGAAACTGGATGTTTCTTCTGGAAAATGCTGGATAACATTCACAAAGGCAGCAACTTAGAAGCAACATCAGCACAAGAAGCTTGAAAAAAATTAAGTTAAAATAGTGCCCATGAGAGAGAACAGAAGGCTAGTCTGAAACTATAAAAATGAAGAACTGATCCATAAGGGAAGGAAAGACAAGGGCATGAGAGTTAGATGCTACAAGACATACTGAAAATGGGATCCAGACACAAGAGAAAGGAGTAGAAAAAAAGAGTAGCTGTCATTCGTATAAGAAAACTGACAAATCAAACCAAGACAGAGTATCARCAGCCTCTTTAAATACTTTGTAATACTGTTTACAGCCTAATCAAATGGAATTATCAATGTATTGGYAGGATATATCTTTAGAGCTGATCAAAATTCACATTTCATTTTGGATTGCTTTAACATTTTGGTTTTGTGCAAAACAAACTGAAAATACTAGTAATAATTTATATTGACAAGATTTTGCAGTGTACTTTAAGTTTCATTCCAAAATCTATAGTCCCATGCATTATGTGTTTAAAATATTTGCAAGACTGACTGGCTGCTGCAGAACTGGCAGATGCACCAGCTTGTATGTTAGCAATAGCATCTTTATTAGTATGATTTACYGTGGTAGCCTTAAAGCTTTTGAGATGCCATTTCTTCCACACACATTTCCTTGGTTTTAGACCTAAAATTAAAAAAAAACTTAATTTAGAAAAATGTTTCTGTGAATTTTGAAAATCACCCCATGAMTATCCTCAAATGAAATTAAAATTGCTTCATTTCCTGCCTCCAATGTGCAAATTTTTATGCCACTGTCAACTTTAGGCATGGGATCCAAGCCTGCCTAATTATCCTATAATTAATCCAAGAATTAATTATATTCATACACTTAAAGTCAACCAGAATAGTTTTTGCTATCTCCCTTCTGCTTCTGCTTGGGTTTGCATATGGGTGAATATCCTTACTTTGTGGTTCTTCCAGTTCTGGTAATTTAATACATTTGCATATGTTTTGTTGAGGCTGTGAWTTATTCTCGCAGCAATACTTAATTTACTTTATTCTGTGGTTTTCAATCTTCATTGGACTAAAATTTTACACAGCTCCCACACCGTAAGTTTCATGCAGACATAGAATCTGTGCCATAGGAGTGGTCTCTCAGAGTCCTGGGATTTTTTCTGGTTTGACTAAATTTCAGTTAAATCCATCCATTATCTATTTATAGTGGTCACACATTACAGAGAATACTGTGGGTTTATCCAGCTCTTCCAAGTTAAAGGCCCTTTAGGATTTTGGAGCATGTATAACYTTGATGTATGTAAACCCTCTCTAAATTAAAATTTTTCAGGGTAATCTTTTCCTACATGAAATTTTCTCTGTCTGTAACTAAAAAGAAAATTCTGCCCAATAGACAGTGACTGACATGGAGAAAGGTTTTGAGAAAATATTTCTGTATTTTACATCTACTTCAAAAACATATTTCTATTGCATTTGTCAATCAGCCTCAACATGTAAGATAATAAAATCCACATTGTCGTGTAATCTAAATAAATGAACACTAAAGATAGAAATCTGCTCTAAATCTAAGTTTTGGAATGGATATCAAATTACATATGCAATCTAAAAATCATAAACTTTTACTGTCAAAACATGTGGATATGTAATGGTAATATAATACCACTTCCTTTAATGGTAAAATAATACTATTTCCAATACAAATTTTTAGGAYAGATAAAGACTGAATTGTGTAAGAATACTTCAAAAAGATGGCTCTTTTTTATAGGGAGATACCTTCAAGGCCACCTACAAACAGATACTTTTGCCAAAAGCATTTTGAGATGTTTGATACAGTTTTATTTTTCTTAAGGAAAAATAATGCCATGGGTAGTTAGCTCTGATTCCTTTCCAGGGTACTGTTTAAAAATATTTATCTGCATTTATATACCAATAACCAGTATTAAGAAATCATAATTACTATTACTGAGCAGAGAATGCCAGCTTTTACACCAGTATTGCTAGTACKGCATTTTCTACGTATGTATCCATGTATGTCAGAGAGGAGAAAAAACAACAGAATCTCACTGAAAAGCACACCTGGTAGTTTGGACAAAATATGCCTCAGGGAGAAAGAAAATACCTACCTGTACCTGATATCCACTGAAAAACTAAGTCTACCAATCTGTCCTTAAAGTCATCACCAAAATATTTAATAGAATCAGGAAGTACTTCCCAGAAAGCAACATAAACGACTTGTGACAACCAATCAGGATATACCTGACAAAAATAACACCGTATTTAAAAAGTCTGCACAAGAGCTTTCATMTTGTAATTAATAAATGTAAAAATATTCAAGTGAAGCAATTGCAAAGACCTTCTGCTATAGAAAAAGAAGTATAACCCTTTGTTATTTGTGTGAAACATTAGGCAACTGTATGAATGATCAGGGACTTCACTTCTCAAAAACTTATGTAATCAATGTGTAAGTCAAGGTTCCCAGTTAAACCTGAACTGGAGAATGCTGATTTCAACAAATTACATAGCTTGAACAAGTCCTTAGGGTTAAAATTAGGATGCAGAATAAGTAATATTTATTAATATTGAACAATTTTTATATTCAATGAAAATCAAGTAAGCTTTTAAAATTGACATAATTAAATGGCATAATTCAATTTTACCATTCACGTATCAYACGAGCCAAAAAATTCCCTTCAATGACCACCTGTGATAACTTCCAGCCTTTTCTCACCAATCCTGGTTGTTCTCTCTCTCTCTAGTACTTACATGCATGTGCGTCCAGCTGTTTTTTGGAGCCAAAAGCTGCCAATCTGGATGCAGGTAAATTGGCATATGCGTCACAATTATTTTATGAGCCAAAATGCAGCAGTTGCCCATATACAGCTGAAAATGCAACTTGTGTTCTTACCTGAGAAAACACATCTTTAGCATCCCCGGAAACAAGAAGCAAATGTGCCACAAAATCTGCCATTCTGTCAAACAAGAGATCTTGGTTAGACTTCAAAGGGGAAAAAAATCAGGGAAAAGAAGTCAACATAAATTCAAATACAKCTGTATGCAAAATACTGATGCACACTGTGAAAGCTCACACATTGTGAACGCTAATCTAGCCTGTGAGGGGAGGCCCTGTCAACACAAAGGAASAGCAATGAAACACATATCCCTAAATTAGTGCCCTCTCTTACATCAATATGTTTTTCTTCTAAACATTTTAACAACTTCCAAGAACTTTTTTGAGTATATTGAAGCAGTTCCTGATTCAGAATAGCTCTGAAAAACATGCATTATCTGAAGCATATGTTAAATTTATCAGCCAACAATTAAGATGGAATCTAAGTGATGTACTGAATCAAAGCCAGCGTACATAATCACAGCCTCCTGCCACAGGAATATTTTCATTCTCTTCTTAATAAAGAACATAGTGAACACCTGAGGTAACAGAACCCATACACTTTTGATTTATATTCTTAACCAAAATATTCCAAACTCATACCTTTTATAAATTTTAGCACCAAACACAAAGTAAGTAAAGTAATAAACAGTCAATTTCATCTAAAAGTTTATTTTAAGCTTCATGATATAAACCTGCTAACTAAACTAATTCTTCATATRTTCAACCACAGCTCTTTAAAGTTACATAGAAAGTTAATCTTGGACCTACAGCTGATGGCGTTGAGCATCATGAGTAAAACACTTGCATTTTTGTACTTGTGGAATATGCATATTATTTGTTTGATATAACAGATCTAAGAATACTTACAATTAATTTATATGTTATACTTCTGGAGAAACCAAGACCACAAAGAATCYTGAAACACTACAATAGATTATTCTGAGAGAAACAAACTTCTCCAGACTTTGAGAACAATTTCCTATCAAAACAATGAAAAAACATTCAGTACACTAAGTGTAGGGATTTAAAAATTCCTAAAACCACAAAACAAATCAAAACTAGACAAACATAAAAAGTACAAGGAATTTAAATAGAAACACAACCCGAAASCATATAGGAACTTCTTTCAGTTTGCAGGGACAGTGAAGGAAAAAACAGTAGTGGGAATGCCTAGCTTTTACTGGGAGGAACAAAAGCAGCTTCTTTGGGTATCTCAGTATCAGGTCATCAAAATACACTTGTGGCAAGTGCTATCAACAGYTCAGTATTTAGACACAGAGTTTATCAAGGTAGTTCAACGATCTGAATTTTAAATCTATCCTTCYCTCTGCACAACTTGTTTTTATCAGCTTGACAGTATTTGGACTTGGACAAACTACAAGAATTAGGTTTCCTTTATTTATAAATGTGAAGCAGTCAAATTCAGGCAGAATATTTACAACACCCTTAAGTCTTATCAGTTTGTAACTATTTTAACATAGATTGAGAAATTCAATCAGTGTAATACTATTTACTGACAGGTTAATCTGCAAAAAATAATAGTTTTTATTGATAATAGCAACCTCATATATGGTTCAAAAGTCAGGATTTCAGAGACATTGTTTTATGTTGGTGATAACAATGATTTGGTAAATGTTGGGAATATGTTCCTCTTGTTTATATATATTTCTGTAACAATACTACTGATCCTATAGCATAAAGGAAGTATTTTTTGACAGCTAATTATGAAATCCTTTATATATCTCTATAGTGAGAATTCAATTTTTTCTTAAAATAAATTAGTTCGTTATTGTTTAATTTATGCTCTAAGTATGCATACTGATCTAGTCTGTATTTTCTTACATTAAGCATTCACATGTTAAAGATAAATATTAATGAAAGCTTAAACATTTCCAAKTCAAAATCATAAAACAATCCAGAATCTTGCCCCTTTACAGAGCCATGAATTCTGACTCTACCCCAAGGATTCTGACTTGCCCAAGGAGAAAGCTGCCCTGACCAACCAGCCAGAGGAACAGGGATTGCTACCTGAAGCAGATCACAAAGGCATCACAAAGAGACATAGCTCAAAATCAGCCCTGTTTTTTTCAAATGTTATTTAAAATCCTGAATTCACAGGAAAATACCGTGACTTCTCATTAGTCTTTTCTAAAATATTTCAAGCCATAACTAATTCCCACTGGAGTAAAAACCTCCAAGAAATAATACTCTAAATTGTCATTCACAATTTTCACAGATAAGTCAGTCATCATATTTACACAGTATATGTAATGTCCATTATCCAATATATCTGAATTCATATCTCAACAAACATGCAGAGAGAGGTATCATTCCATTTCTGTATCCAGTGGGAAATAATTTGATCTTTCTTGTGTTATCCATAAAAAGAATTAAAAATATTTAATACTCCTTTGCTTTCCACATCTCACTTGCCTGAGTCGGAACCTCCTCTGTAGTAATTTACTCAGTACACATGTCTTAGAAAAATAAGCAAGGTTTAGCTAGAAATAGAGGCTGATTTGATGATTTTATTGATTAAAAGCTCAARTCAGGTAAAGACTTTACATGTATTCGTATCTACATCTAAATGTGTCTACACACAAAACTGAGCACATTGTACAGTCCCCCTGCATCACTGGAATGACTGGAAGGTTTAAAAGTAATCATTTTGCACTCATCTTTCCTTCATTAACATCACAATCTGTGGAGAACATGCTTGCATAGACTTTTGCCTGCACTTTGTTTAGGCCTAAACAAAATGTTTCCTAAAACCCAGGCAGTGGGACTTTARTTTATTAGGCTTTTCTAAATTATAAACTTGACACTTCACACTCACAGACTGAGGGAAAGCTATAAACACTCATCTGGACCAATGCTTGCCAGGTGCTCTGTCCAAGGGCAGTGAGATGYTCCTCTAGATACGCTGGGCCACATTGTCATGACAACATGTTTTCAGCACGTTTCTGTGCTTCAGTGACATGTGTTTATTCTCTTCTCCAAGTCTGAGAGTGGACTGATGTCCATATAGATATTTAYATATAACACTGAAGGAATAATCTTCTTGTAACTTACCCACCGAAGAGTAAAGCTTGTCAAGAGAGCTACAACTCAGCCATTCCTTCTGCAATGAGGACATTCTAAAAACAGCTATTTCTGAAAATTAAAAGATAAAATTAAGTAATCTGTGAACTTTATTTTCCATAAAGAATTGTAACACAAGTATAAATGCATTTTACATCTAAGATTCTCTAATTTTGGCAACACTGCAATGCAGACTGTGCTTTCCTCCTCTCTCATGTACTGCATTCAGAGATGATTACATCATCTCAAAGAGTCAGAAAAACAGAAATAGACCAGGGAGGCCCATTACAGCAGACACAGAGTAATTAAAAAGACTATAACTTTTTAGTTAGAGAAGGAGATAACTCAAGAAAAAAGGGTCATTATGTTTCTAAAGAGACAAATAAAATCATGTGCAATTTAAGTTCTCGGAAAGGCCAGTAATGCCTTCCATCTGTTGAGAACAGCCTTGGAAATAGGAGGAAACTCTGTTCCTTGATCTAGCAAAGAATTTAAGCTAGCAGCTTAAATATTTGAGCAAATTGTTGAAACCATATCATCAAATTGATCACTTTCCTGAAATAACTTAGTAAGCATTACTAAGAACAGAGTAATCAGTATTTCTAAGCCCTCTGGTATAGCTGAAGGATATTGAATTGCTCTCTTAATAGTAGGGCAGCAGGACCAATTATTTCTTTGGAAAAGTAAGTCAATGAAATACTTTTGATTGCAATGAAACTATTAATACACAAGTGTTCATTCTGTGATGCTGTGATTTCAGGGTAAAATGGGAAGTAAAACCAATTGTAAAATGTAAACACATCAATATTTTTTATTTGCATTATCCTAATTTATTGTGTTTCCATATTTATTTCAGGTTCTTCCTCTCAGGTATAGATCTTTTAAGAAAAAAAAATATTTTTATAATGAAATGTCCCACCTCTTTTCAAACATTCTTTGTTTCTTTGTTCCAGTGAGAAAAAAAGTTCCGGTTCAAAGCTCAAAAAGGCAAATTTTCTGGTGTACAGGCTTTGAGTGAATCAATACTTGCAAATAATGTAGGCAGGTCAAAACGAATGTCCTGCTTCTTCCAAAAATAATGTCATTCTGACAAATCACATTATATTAAATCCTTCAACAAAATAAAAAGACATATATAGTCTAAGACTTCCCTAGCAGTCTCACCAGTATAAGAAAATAGAGAAAGCTCATTAAAAATCAGAACTAACTATTCCCCTTTTCATCCTCACCAGAAGCTTCTGCCTCAGGGTACAGAACTTTCTCTTGTGTTAGTAATGCCATGGCTTGATCAAATCTTTTAAACAAAGCTTGATTCAGTGTCATCACTAAAGCATGCTTCCAACAGAAAATTGCTGTACAGCAGGCAGACATTTTCCTTCCTGGTATAGCTTTGAGGAAAAAGAAAGTTAACAGAACAGAGGCTGCTCTCTTAAAGATTTGCCATTTCTACAAAATTCTTTTTCAGTRTCCAAGGGTCCTGGAAGTACAGTCTACACTCAAACCTAATTCTCAGTATTTACACTCAYAGGGCTTTGCTCAGGACCTGACTCCTACATGTTCATTTCTCCATACACATAGGTAGTTACAATAATAGCCAATTTGACTCACCAATTCTTGAGTCCCTAATAATCCTTGGAAAGTAAAAGAAGGTTTTTGCATTTTCTGCTGACGGACATTAAGAATTCRTCTCACCCAAATGTCTTTTAAAAACCCCTAAGATAATATACAGTAGAAAATATTTAAAATTTAGACAACTAAAACATACAGTCAGAGCAACCACTATAACCTACAGAGAGCAGGTTCATTGTAGGTTCTTCCCACAAACAAAATACTATTACATATTCTTACATGTTAAAAAACATGCAAAATATGTGAAAGATATGTAAAGGCACGTAATCACAAAGCTCACTAGTTCCATAATATTATACCATTATTATTCATGCATGTCTAAAATGCACACTGAAGAAAAAGCAACAAATCTGCTATTATTCTCATGTATTCCGTTTTTTGTTTAGAAGTTGGAATCTATATGAGGGTTGTAGATTAGCCAAAGTTTTATTGACATCTATCAAGTGATATATGCTGAGTTCAGTATAACTAAAAATTYAGACTTCAGGGTTTTGACTGAGCAGAAAACAAGCGTGAGAAATGCTGGTTTGAAAACACAAATCTGTCTTTTTAATGTACTTGGAAGTAAAGAACCCCAAATGAAAGCTATATGACAAACATTCCTAAAAATCTTATGCACAGGGTTTTTTAGTCTGCAATTTTTGTGTAAATAACTGTAAAGAATAAAAGAATACAGAGAAGCAACTCAGATTTCAGAGCCTGATTTTAAATAAAAAGGAAGCTTGGTTTGTTCCCAAACGAGTTCTGGATTAAGGACCTAAAAAAATAATTCAGATAAAATAAAATAGGGTAAACTCAGCAAAATGTAAGTTTGGCAAGAAAGGATTTTAGAAACCTTTATAAATGTAATTTTTGTGCCCAATAAACCTTTCTTATTTCACTGAGTGGAGAGCAATATTCTCTACACCAAAATGACTATTTTAGTTTAGTCACTTCCACCTARAAATGCAGTTACTAAAGTCTGAATATTGAGCAAATGCTGCTATGGAGCAGCATCCTCAACCAGGCCAAGGAACTCCAGAGAAGAGATCCCATGCTCCCTTTAGAGAGATGCTAAGCAGAGAGGAATGCAGTAGCACAACTCCTCCAGGCCTCGGTGYCAGTAAATATGCTCGAAGGATACTGCTAAGTGCGAAGAAATATACAGGGTAAACAAAAAATCGGATCTGTCTTTCCTGGAGTTCTCCTGGGAGTCCAGCAAAGCTWCAGCCTCCCACAGCAGCGGTTTCCAGGCGGTGCCGCCTCACGTTGGGCAGCGCTGGGCACGGGATTCAGGGCAGGARACACCTGGCACAGACCCAGCTGGGAACGCCCGGATTCTCCCCGCCATCCCAGACAGGTGGGTGGATGTGGTTTCTGGTCAGGTTTTTGTGACACAAAACACTCAACAGCSCATTCCGAGCGTGAGGCTCCCCGATGAGCACAAACCCCTCAGGCACAGCCGGCCCGGCGGGAGCCACTCTCAGCCTGGGCTGCTTCCGCTCCCCGCCTCCCCGCGGCGGCCGAGCCCGGCACTTTGGTTCCGGGGCCTGCGAGGGCCGCGCGGGAGCGGCGGCGGGCGGCGGGTGAGGAGCGGGCGGTKCGGGGGGCTGGAGCCGCCTGAGGAGCGCCTGAGGAGCCCCCGGCCCACCGCGGCCGTGGCGGCCCGAGAGAGGAGGCAGCACGGCTCGGGAGCGCTGCGGGGCCGCACTCTGCGCGGGGCGGGCTCGGGCGGCCCAGCGATAGGCAGCGGCTTTGCGCCCACAGGGGCCTTGGTGCCGCTGCGGCGGAGGAACGAGGGCCATTCACACACGCCCGAACGGCAGAGCCGCGTTGTTATTGCGGTGGCCGATGCAGGGATTGCGGGCTGTGCCCGCCCTGCGCTACCTTGGCCCGCAGAAGCTGCGAGCGCTGCGCTCCAGAGCCKCTCCCGCACTCGCCCCGCTCGGCTGCCAGCAGCGAGAAGCGGCGGGGAGCTTATGGCACCCATTAGCTTTACACAACCCCCCGAGGTGTCCTGGCCGAGGTTCTGAGGTGTCCTAGAATTACAGCCGGAATGTGGAGAGTACCAGCCACCGGCAGTGATTTACCAGGGGTTTGAAGATGAGGTGCAGACTGAGTTGTTATTCAGTCTTAAAAGTATGTGTATGAAAAGAGATTTGGGTCTTGGAAGCTGCATTCTCAAGTGTACTGTGTGCACAGTGCTGTAGCCTGGTCACAGTTACTGTTTTGAGACCACAGCATATCCCTCGTCAGTATCAATAACAAAAGTGCTTCAGGGTGTCACCGTCGAGCGCCACAGAGTGTAATAGTTACACTGAAAAGAATCAGTTTGCAGCCTGGGAATGCATGTCCAATTCCAGGGCCTCTCACCCTCTCCTTCTGGAGGAARCTTGATAATAGCACAGGTTACTCTGAAATATATATATATTTGCTTTATCTCAGAGAAACTTGAAAGCAAATTGCAGTAGAAAATTTGTATGCATATTAGATTTCGTGTTTATTTGAGTGGACATCCCTGAACTTTCAAAAGTTAGACCTTGGCAGAGGGGGAGGGGAAGGTATCATAGCATGCATGAGTATTTAATTTTACTAGAAAATAACAATTTTTTCTGGGATTGATTTCATTTTTATTGGAAAGTTAGCTGAGGGTTTTGTTTTGGTTTTTTTTTTTGTTTTGTTTTGTTTTGTTTTGTTACTTTCCAATTATATTACACTTGATTTTATTTAATCACTTGATTTTGGATAACATTTCAAGACTTACTGTTTGTTTTTGTTAAACATGACTTCACTACATCATTTCATAAGTGTGGTCYTTGACATAAAAACATAAACCTAAATTAGCTGAAGGTAAATACTGAAAATAACTTCTTTCATTTCAAGTGATGCAGCACAAAGTGCAAAAGGCAGTTCACAACTACTGCAGGAAGTGCAGGCTCCTGACTGGGGGCTGCTTTGTGCATGAAAGAGAATCCCAAGTGCTCTCTCAGAAGGGATTGTGACAGCACCACAGCAAAAATTCTGTCCACACTGGGGTGGGCACACTGTCATGTTTCTGATGCCTTGCTCACAGTGCATAGTGAAAATTCTGTGCCAGCTGCAGAGGGTGAGACAACAGCTGTCCTGAAGAAAGCCTGAAAAAAAATCCATCAGTGGTACTAAATAAACACAAACTTGCAGAAGTCTAAACTGGGTCAGCACTTACTCTCTGGTACATGGAGCACCAAAGCCCTCTTTTAGCTGTTACTTCTCAGCCTCAAGCTCTTCTGGAAAATTTCTTCTATTTCACAAAGTTCTATTCAAGAGGGATTTCATTCAGGTTATTTGGTTGGCCCCACACAACAAATTTCAGGGTGTAGAYTGAAATTTGTCCAATTAATTTTTGTCTTATGAATTTCTATCGTACAGGCATGTAATTCCTTGTCAGTAGACATATTGGAGACTAATGGGATTACTGACCCAGGTAAACACTGCTTACCAGTGTTTTCATAAACTTCTAGGCACAAATCTTAACAGAGAAATAATAGACTTCTGCAGGAGTTAAGTGAGTGAGATAATGAATGTGTATCTGTGTGCATTAAGGATGCAGATCTCAGGTTCTTCCCAGCTGTTCATTTCATGCTCTCCTGAAATCTCTGGAATCAGATGATTTTATTATTGCTTCTGCTGTAAGAAGTACCTTCTTTGATAAGATGTTTTTGTTAAACGGGATAATACAGAATAATTTCCAGTAGATTAGTTCATAGTAATTGGATTTTTGTTTAACATGTTGTCGTTTCAGCTAACCATGTCTTTAAATGCAACTACACTTTTAAATGAAGAAAATGCTCAAGGGCCAAAAAGAAATATTGAGTGTTTGGAAGGCCTCGAACTGCAGACTCCGTCATCATTTCAAGATARTCCACTTCAACAATTACAGTTAGCATCCCAGGAAGTACTGGAAAAGGCAAAAAGGAGTGGGAGATCAAAATGCCCCCGATGCAATAGTTCAAGGATGTTTTATTGTTATACATGCTTTGTTCCTGTTGAAACTGTCCCTACTGAGAAAATTCCAACTGTGAAGGTGAGTATTTCTTTTGGATTTTTTGCAATATYCTTGTTGGTTTYAGTTACTGTAGAYAGAGAATAGTCTGTCTGCCACCATTTCTTTTCTGACTTATTCTTTATGGACATTCATCTTGAACACAGCTATAAGGATGAATAAACTACAGTTAGATAAAGTTACCGTTCTTACTTGAGGAGTTACATGTACAAACACTGAAAATGTTCCAGTCCTCACATAAACATTTATGTATCTTCTAGATGAGAATATAGGCTGAAGTCACTCAACTCCTTACGCAACTGTGTTTTCACTTAGCTGTTGAAAGTTTCTTTATGATGCTCTTTTGCATTCTTCAGTCTCTAATAAACTCTGGCCAGAACACATTATACTGTACACAAAAAATTTGTTCATAACCAAGGGTGAGTTTTACATAAAATGCGAGCTAAAAGGCATTCCTAAATGTCATGTTGTGTAATTCAAATAACCACTCTTAAAATATAAATGAGCCCTGTAATGCCTTTTAGCTAAAATACTTGGGGAAGTTATCAGAGAGGACTGAGACATTTTGCAAAATCACTTAGGATCTAAAGTGCATTTTGAAGACACTGGAGTTTGAAAGCATCATAAAAATACTTCAGAAGTACTTTGGAAATTTGACCTACTAAATTTAGGTGTATTTTCATTGAAATAGTCATTTTCACAATTGGGTGAATACCTAATAGAGATAAATATTCATAATTAGAACCATTCTATTGCTCAAATTAAGACCACATCTTACTTTCCTTTTTGATTTTATTTCTAGAGATCTTACCCACTATTGCTGGCAACATTCCAAAGTGCACTCATTGCTTACATAGGAATTTCCATAAATTGAATGTAAAAGGTGCTTCTTCTAACTTTAGTTAGTCTCTAGTTTAGTTCCAAACCTGTTAAACTAAAAATACTTTAAAAATTATCAGATACGTTTTAATTACACACCCATAGGAATTTCTTGTGAATTTTGAGTAAGTTTTTGTATTGATGTTCCTGTCTATGATGATAAATACTGTTTTTTTTGKTTTTTAACTCTAGTTGCCCTTGAAGATTGACATTATTAAACACCCAAATGAAACTGATGGCAAAAGCACTGCTGTGCATGCRAAGCTCCTGGCACCTGATGATGTTACAATTTATGAATACCCTTGCATTCCAGAATATGGAGAAAAGAGACACGAAGTAAGAGATTCTCTAGAGATAACCAGGCTTTATGCTGGGGAGGTGCWGCTTTCTCCTGCAGTGGTGCTGGGWGGAAATCACTGTTCCATTAGTGCAGTCCACCCTATGCTTTCAAAGCTTAGGTCTGCAAACATATGTTGTTCTGTACTGTAACTCGTTCTCCAAAGCTGAGAAAGACTGCAGCACTATTTRACAGCCTTGAATTTCCTTGTTCATCATCTCACATAGTGGAGAATTAGATTCACTGTGTACCTGAAGAAATATATTGCCCTTAAATGAAAGTATTCARCTTGCAGCTAGTTAAACAAAAGTTGAGTGTTGTGCTCATACTTAGCAGCTGCAGTATTTAAACCCAATTAAATATTTAACATTCACTATTACAGAGGAAAACAACTAAAATGCAACTTTTGTCTGTCATAGCATAGAGCTTGAAAAAGTAAACTATGGACATTTGAATGGTATGGTTWCTCTCAACTCTAGTATTTACACATTAGATGTTATCACTAACACTTCCATTGTGAAGAAGAGGATAATATGATAATTTCTAATAATTTTTCTAAACTTCTAGAACTATTTTCTTCAAGRAATGAGCCAGCAATGAAAACAAGAGGCAATATGACAAATACGTGGCAAAGAGGCAGAAAGCTGAAAATAAAGCAGAAAGAGTAATGGGGAGGGCATGCAAAAGTGGGAAGAAATTGCATTGTCCAGGCTTTCTAAGGCACAGATTCTGTATGGTGCAGTAAATAAAGTMCTCTCTGCTCTTCATGAAAGATATTTGTGGCACCTGCAATAGACACAAGGGCAGAAAGATTATTTCTTCTGATATAAAATCTGTGAATGACATTAGAAAGTATTCTTTTTGTCCTTCCTGCCCCATATACTGCAGTGACAGGTGACATTTGAACTTCCTCAGGGCTGGCACCATTGTCTTGGCAGAAAAACAGTTTTAWATAGAAGTATTAGAGTTGGTAGTAGAAGCATGGAAGTGACAATTAAAAATCTCTATTATAGGTCTCAATTCATTATTTTAACAGGTTTTTTAACATGGATTTAACATTATGTTAGTGAAATATTTTTAAGAGATACTGTTTTGTCTTATCCTGACTTAAATGTTTATAGATAGGGATAGAAAATTTATTTAATATCACAAATCCTGTTGTTTTATTCGATCTTGTTGACAGTCAGATCTCTTTGTTTACTTCCTTCAGATAGCACTTATATTTCCTGGCCCCAATTCAGTTTCAGTAAAAGATATTGCTTTCCATCTCCAAAAGTACACTAAGAAAGGTGTCTGTGATAGTGATGACGACTGTTCCAGAGAGCCACTTCCTAAACAAGCAAAAATAGAACCTAAAGAAGAAAAAAATCCAAATGAAAGCATCTCAAGCAGCAGGAGTGAAGGCACTAGACTGAAGAAAATAATATTTATTGACAGCACCTGGAATCAAACAAACAAGATAATAACTGATGAACGACTTCAAGGTAAAAAAATACAAGTTGATATTGTGATGTTATTGCTACAGAAATGATTGAGGGACATATGTCTGTAATAGACCCAAGCATGATGCAAGCTTATACCTTATATCTGAGTGTTCCAGTGCTGTAGARTACTTCCTGAGGCAAAGGCTCTATTACTTCTCATGCTGTGTAACTTGTTTTGCAAGAAGATATTAGTACTAATAAAGCATTTACATTTATTTGTCTCACTTCTCTACTGGAGAAAATTTCTTCAGTCTTAGAGAATAGAAGCTGTCTTGTTAGACAGTAGAACAGTCATTTGAATGGCTTCTGAAGGAAGCCAGGCAGATTTCCCTGGCAGTTAGCTTTTTCAAAGACCCAYGGGACCATTTGTGTACATGTTGGGCAGAGAGGCCCCGAGAAGGTAAATGAGGGATTTTGGAGGTACAGCCCAGGTTTGGCATGGCTTGGGTTCTCTTTCTTGTGAAGTTGTTACATGGACATTTTGTCTTAGATTCTTACAAGAAGTTTACATTTAAGCATTCTTAATTAARACCACGAAAGACAAAACAATTTAGCAATAGCATTCCATTTCCTTTGACATGAATAGGGGTTTGAAAATACTTTCATTAGTGGAAAAAGTGCACTTAGCTGCGAGGCAGGTTGTCAAGTTTATATGCTATATATGTGTATATATATATATGTATATATATATATATGTATGTATATATATATATATGTATGTATATATGTGTATATATATATATACACTGCTACTGCTTTGTACTGGATCCTATAAAGAATTTCACAGACTTTCTTACATGGAAGATGAATGTTGCCTTGCTGTCTAGTCAGTTTATTAAAGAATCCCACATGTTAGTACAATGTATTGGCTAATTAAAATCCTGTTGTAAGTATTTMGTTTAACACACAAAACATACTCTATCAAATACCTTAAAGTATCACTGTAAAGATTAGAGTAATTGCATTTTGCAAGTTACTGTAAAGCATTTGGAACTTACTTTAGGAGAATGAATTCAAGGAAAGTAACAGGCAGCCAGGGGAATTGAAGATTTCCATGGAAGCCTATGCATATATTAGTCAAAAAGTCTTAACTGGTATTATTTTGGAGCTCTTAAATGGTTTCCATTTATCCCATGACCTTGCTAATCTGGTGGACTATTCCCTCCTTTCCAGAACATTTCGGTTCCAGCTGTTTTGCAGTCCTCTGGGTCCCTGAGCACATTTCAGGATTGCTGTAAAGTTTAATAGTGTCATGCAAGTCAGTTTCTTGTATGGAGAGTATTTTAACCATCCACGCATTGGGTGTAAGTGTGCACAGGCYGTGCATGCATTGCTTTCCTTAGTACCTGTCATAAAGAACATAAATTGCATTAATACCCCTTTTAGAGATTGCAGTTTTGACTTCCAAAATGAATGGGGCAGAGTTTCCTTAGGCATAAACTGATGAAATTTTTATGTTGTACATACATGAAAAATAGAGAACTGTTTTCATTTTTCAGTTCAATTGCAAATGAAGTCATCATCCAACRAAATATTCGTCATATACTAAAGTTCAAAAAGGAGTGTTCATAATTCCAAATAAAAACTAATTGCCATACTTCTTACTAAGAAAGATTACAAGAAATACTGGATGAAAACATTWATGAAGCCAAGAAAATGTTAAGAAAAGCCTTGTGCTTTGTAAGCCTGTATTTATATACACAGTAAATCTAGCAAATTGTACTGCAAGAGAAAGCAAATGAGTACATCAATCTTAAAAAAAAAAGCCTAAAGAACTTGGACAAAAAATCACTTCTGTATCTTGGGAAAGTGTGTAATATATCTTTAGAAAACAAAATTAATCAGTTAAAGACAGGAAATATATGAKAGCTGGTAATGTCTAGGATTGATTACTTCATTAAAAGTGATCCCTAGATCAGAAAGCAAACWGTTGAATCAAATGCTAATGATTACTTTCTCACATGAGTGATGGAGCTTATTGGCAGTATCACCATGGTTGTTAAAGAAATAGATTGCTCTGGTGTATTTTCCTGTAAGTTTGAACTGCTCTGTATTGGCCAAATATTTTATTAGCTTATACATTAGTACTGTAAGRTTTCATATGAATGGTGCATATTTGTAATCAAACATTGTCTTTGGCTGTATACAGATACAGTACAGATGAAACATGCTCAGTAAACTCTAACCCTTAACACCCTCTGGTTTTATTTTTATAAAAAACTCCTGAAATAYTGTGTTTGAAAGTAACCGATCCTGCATTTGTGATAAGCTCACTAGTGTCCATGGTGTTGCCTTCAGTGAACTTTCATTTGTATTCAAACCACAACTACGTGGGAGTTACGTTGGAAGAATCATCGCTGAGATTTGCTTCACAGCTTTTAGGGTGGAAGCACTGCCGAATTTAATGGAAGTTTTCACTTTGGTTAGGGCTGAAAATTCAAGTGTTGAAAACTCCTGAGAGCAACCATCTTAAGACAGTTTCCTACTACTATTTTAAGTTTCACATATGTAAGATTATTAGAAGTAATAATTAGACTATGCTATTTTGAGGTTTTGTTCCTGAAATGCCAATAATAACAGTTAAATTCAGGGACAGGCTCTGCAGTTCTTTTTTAAATGCTCTAATTGAGATTTCTTTTACAATGCAGGATATCATACATTAGTAACTGCAAAGCAAACAACTAAATCCCTCTTGCAATTACACTGAAAAGAATTAAACACAGTTTGTAGATAAAAACTATAAAATTTAAAGTGTTGGGCTATAGCCCAGTTTGTACTTCTGAATTTGGACTGTACCGAAACTTCTCTGTCCAAAACTTCCAAGCAATTCTTAGACCATATTGGTTTTTGTACTATAACCTGTACTAAATCATCCCATGAGGCAGAGTATCAGATTGTGACAGAAAAAGATAACTTTACAATCTGCCTCTGATATTGTTGACAGGGTGTATACCCTGTTCTTCATGATCCAGCTGTCCATCCTGTTTACAAAGGGGTAACACATTAAGGTGGTTTCAGTTTTGAATGGTGTGTGCACCTTAAAGAACATAAAAACCAAGATACATATTTAAAATTTATCTGAATAATAGAATAGTCACAGAGACTAGAAGTAGATAAAAGATTTTGTTGTGCCATACAGACACCAAATTCCCTCTTTCATCTTAAGTGGGAATGCTTTTAGTTCCTAATAAAATTAATTACCAGGTGCTGACATCTGGTAATTACTCCTGAGTAATTTCAGTGAGATTTCAGTTACTTAACATAAATGGAAAATTTCTGGCTCTTGGAAATAGTCCTCACTTCAGCAACACTAACAGTCTAAGGGATTCTGTTTTAYACTTGAAAAGTATTAGCTTTGCAAAAGATGAAATTGTAATTTTATGAACATGGATGAGTTTTGGGAGATGTGGGTTTCACTCTTGCCATGTGAAGCCACCCTGCAGTTCACTGAAGGCTGTGTGGCTGTTTGAGTGAAAAGATAACCTGTAACTAATTGTAAATATGAAGATTGTAACCTAGGACTTAGAGCACTTCTTCATCAAATTGCAAAGCAGTCCACAAAAGAGGATAAAATTATTGCCTCAGTTTTACAGATGAAAAATGGAGGTACAGGAAGAGAAATTATTGGCATGCAGGCATTAAACAGCCTAGCAGCAAATTCAGAAAAGAAAACTAAAGTCTTGTTTGACATTCTGGCCACCCATCCACACTGTCTAATCTATTTCATCCTTTTTTTTCTTGACAGGATTACTGCAAATTGAGTTGAAGACAAGGAAAACTTGTTTTTGGCGTCATCAGAAGGGAAAACCAGATACATACCTTTCCACAATAGAAGCAATTTATTATTTCCTTGTGGACTATCATCAGGAGATTTTGAAAGAGAGCTACAAAGGACAATATGATAATCTGCTTTTTTTCTTTTCATTTATGTACACATTGATTAAAAATGCCAAGTGTTGTGCAGGAAAAGACTAAGGTGTCTGTCTATTGGTGCATGACACTACCTTTTTTTTGTAATAATAAACTGCATAGACATAACTGGGTTTTGGGKTTTTTTTAATAATTGTATCCTAAATAATGGTAACAGTGTTTGTCCAAAGTGAGCTGCAAACCTATTCCTGCGCTCTTGAGGTTGTAGAACTACTCAGATGAGCAGTCTGATTAGACTTGAAAATTAGATTAGTTAGATTACATTTGAGAACAGTTACATTTTGCTAAATAATGCTGTATTTCAACCTATAGGCCTGATGTGCTCACTGTGATGAGCACATTTCCTGAGGTGGAAGCTGAGGACTTGACCCCTCTTGCCATAGTGATCTCTTAACTGTAAGAAGGAATTAGCATGCTAGCTTTTGTTGTTACTAATACTTATGTCAGATGTTTTCTTTGTGGTTTACACAGCAATACTGATATCACCTTCATGGCATCAAAAGCTTATTGAAATCAGCAGATGGTGTTCAGCTGTGGGGGAGAGTGGCAACAAGACAAAATGAAAGAGACATAAATTGAATATTATTTTCAAGTTAATTCTGGAAAATTCTTCTAGTAATAAAAAAGTGGTCTCTTAAAACACTGTTACACAGTGTATGATTTCTGTAGTACCATTCATATAGTGTTATATTCAGTTTATTGTCAACTTGTTGGGTAGTTTTAGACTTCTTCAAACAAATTGAAGTGTTTATTACTATTACATCATTATCTGGGGGAGCACTGACCTAGCAWATGTCACTATGGCACACTGTAGGCACTAAAGGAAAAAAAGGATGGTGGTTCTGACCACAGCATTTCTGAGGTGGCTTCCTTAAATTTGGCAGAGTGTGAACCTGCTCTGTTTTTCCTTTTGCAGTAWTAGAGCAAATTAGAACAGCATAGGTAAGCCTTTGTCTGTGCTGATGAGAGTTTTGTTGGTAGGTGWAGCACTGCTGTCAGAGTCATCACATGTGTGAATGTAGTTTTACCAAGCTATACCAACACAGCCAGTGCTGGCAGAGGTAATAGACCTGAGCTACAACTTTACAAGCAGAGTTATGTGAATATATTTTTATCATACTATGATTTAAAAAATCACATTGATAAAAACTGTATTCTTAAGGTAGTAAAAATGTTCCATTAGCAGTACAATATAAGATGGATAAATATTTCTGAAATTCTCAGAAATTTCTTAATTAAGAAAAAACATACCTTGTCAAAGKGACAGACTGAAAAATTATAATAGATTAWTTTTTAAACAAAACATCCAAGTTCYTGTTATCACTTAGTAGCATACTCTCTAGGAGGGCACTCTCAAACCTTGGTGAATGTGGAAATAGTGTCTTGGAAAATACTTGCTTACACAGCAATCCATCCAGGCTCAAACAACTGGTTTGTACTGTTTTTTTTTAATGCTTCAAGATACTGAAATCCTAATGTTTCTTCAAACACAAGATATAAATACACTCTCTTAGGTTACACTTCAGATTTGTTTGCTTTTCTGCACAAGTGCATATGAAAATGCTTTTCAGTGGACAACAAAAATGTATCTCCTCATTTGCACAACAAAATGCTGGTTTTGTTATGAGTGCACATGAAATGTGTATGAACTGTAACAGCACCACAGGAAACACAGGCTTGAAGTCAAAATGAGGAAGATAAATTTTATATCTACCTATATATTGAGTTCATGTGCCAGGCAATGAGGAAGATCAGCAGTCTCAGTGCTATTGAAACAACACTGCCTACTCATTCTTATCGCTATTGAGAGGTTATTTTGGCTTTTTTAAATGATTAATGGTATTTCCCTTGGTATGAATTTTGATAGTCTTGCCATTTCCATCTGTTCTTGTATTTCTTAAACAAAGATTGTTGTAGTATTTTTTTTTTAATCGCACAAGTATAATAGCTTGAGAAGAAAACTTTCACCCACTTTAAACAAACAAAAATAAAATGAACCCACTGACCTAATGTTTTACAGGAACCAGAGAGAAAAATCTGGGGGGAGAGGGGGAGTTACTTCCAAGACACATTTCCCTGAAAACATGTTTTTTATTTAAGAAGCAGAGGTCAGATAAAAGCTTGTATAAGCTGTTCTTTGTTACTTTTGGAAAATAGTTTCATAAGGTGAAAAATGGTTTCCAAATTTAAGTTTTGTGTACCTCACTTTATTTGAACAATGGGAATTAAGAATCTATTCCAAAAGAAAATGAGTTTTAACTCTCAGATGAAATTAATGTACAGAAGGGAATTTAAATTTGGCACACTGTGTCAGGAATTGGGTTCAGATTCTTTTTGTTCCAGTGAAACCTCAGTGTAATGGAAGAGCATTTGTTATACCACGGGACAGAGGTACACCTAATATCTGTAATTTGTTATGGTCTGTTGGTATTCCTCTGATAACCTTTTATGGGGGCAGGAAAGAGGTTGTTGTCACTTCTGCTGCAAATSTGTCCTGTCTGAGCAGCAGATGTAGTTCCCCCTTTGCTCTTATATAGAAAAATATTTAAATCCTCTATTTAATTTTGATGTTGCTATAAGAAGCCAAGTCATCCATCTCACACTGAAAGCATCTCAGTACCACTGATACATTTTCCCAGCTTTGAGTCTAAAGAAAAATTTGGTTGCCCTAAATGAAAGCGATCAAGTGGTTAATCCTTTCAAGTGCAATTAGCAGCACTGACCTTCCTGTTCTTTAAAATGAGGGTCATGGGGAGGTAAAGGCCAGTTCTGGGCCTTTTCTTTCATATCAGAATACCCCTTCACTATCTCTTCTCGTTCCAAAAACATCAGAGACCAAGAGGGAAAAACAGGCTTCTGCTTCCATTAGCAGTAACTTAAACAGCCATAAGTTAAAGGGGGAGGAAAAGGAAGAGCATCTCTATCTCCTCTCACAACAGAAGACATCTGGCCTCCTGTGGGGAGGCCCCAGATAACAAAGAACCTGTCAGTGCAAACCTCCGCGATGTGTTCAGAGAACCATTTTACCTGCAGTCTGCCTCATTCATTTCCTGCCACTGAAGGCATCTGCTTTTGCTTATTGTGGGTATTTTTGTTCTTTGTTTGGCCAGGAGCATGAAGTGGCTTCACTTTAGCATGCCTGTRCGCTTGGTCAGAGGGAGTATTTAATCCTTTTCTCAAAATGAATAAGAGAGGGAACTGCTGCAAAAAACAATTCCTTTCCTGGAAGGTAGCAGAAATGTCATCCAAGCTGAGGTTGAATAAAGGGTCATGTCAGTGCATGGGGTAAAGATACATTGGGATGGAAAAGAGATGCCAACTTGGAATCTACAGCACAACCTCCCAAAGCACTTGTAATCTTACCTGATTTAAATCCTTTGCTACTGCTTCTTGCAATTTTGGAGTCCATCTGGTTTTCCACATAGTCTTCGTCAGGCTGAGCTGCAGACTAATACAAGGATCTATTCTTACCTTTCCCTCACACTGCATTTCATCATTTTGCCTGAATGCTTTAAAACTCAGTCTACATAAATGATGGTTATAGCATACTTGTATAAAATGTAATGTGATATGAAAATCCGTTCTACCTCTCCCTACCTTTGAAAGTATCAAAAGAAGAAGGGAGGGAAACTTCCTATTAATTTCCCATTATATACTATAATGCAGTTAATACACTGCCTGGTACCATTAACTTGTGTCTCAGAGCATTCTGGGACACAAAAGTTAACAGTGATTGCAGCACAATTTCACAACAGGAAAGCTTTTCCATCAAGATTAGAATATGTGACAGTTAAAGCCCTGATCTACTGAAACCAGAACATGAGGTCACCTACTTAGGTACTGAAGCACTCAACAGAGTTCCTAAATTGTTATTCCTCGTCTTGAGGGACACCATTTTAGTAAAATTGCAATGCTATCATTAAGAATGTTAATGGTGACTGTGAAACTTAGTAATACCAACATTTAAAAGAAGTGTTTATATGAAAAATCTACCACATTCTTTCTGTTCACTTGTTGGGAAGGATAACGCATTGCTCCATTTTATACATTCTGAAGAGCAATGAGATGCTGTCGAATTTTGAATGCCATGTATCACATTAAAGTAAAGAGTATCACACTCTAATGGTGTGATTTCTTCACCACTATCTGCCAGAAATAAATTCAAATAGTTCTGAAGTTCCAGAGCAAGAGGTGGGAACTAGTGCTGTAATGAAAAACAGACAGCAGACTTTGTATTTTCACCTCATGGAAAGTGGAAACTTTTGTCTAACTTTAGCAATCTTGGTGTGGTTACCACAGGATTTTGCTGCTGACTTCTCAGACCACTGGTGTTGCAATAGGATGTTTAGAAACATACCACAGAAAAGTGAACAGAAGAGAATGTGCCACACCAACATACTGAGACTGAGTCCCACTCCACCTCTGATCCTGTGCACTGTGCTTCCCGTACCTGTAAATAAAATTAATAAAAGAGTCTATATAGGAAGCTGAGCCCATAATCCAGTTGAACTGGCATGAAATCTGAAAGCTTTAGTACAACTTCTGAAAGTATTTGCTTTGGAGATGGATTTTWATGAACTGAAGAGAATCAAACTCTTTTAAATTTACAAAAGCATCCTTACTGTCTTTCCTACAGAAGAACAATACTTTGGGTTCCAGCAAAAGAAGTTTTCTCAAGCTGAAACTCAGCCTTCATTTCAAATGCTGCTCCTAATGCTAAATTAAAATTCTGTATTTCAAGAACATCATGTTTTATTTCTTTCAAAAATTATTTTTGAGGTTTCAGTTTCATGACTAAATCATTTGCCAAATGTGGCATTAATTTCACCTGACCTGAAGCTGCATTTTCTAGTGTTAGTCTATGCAGCTGAAACATGCAAAATAGATTTTCTGTTCACAGGTTTTCTTTGGGCAGAATCAATGCTACAGTCTTTTTCCCTTTTTTTTTTATAATTGCAGCAGACAAGGAAGCAATTTGATACAGTTTCAATTGTCAGAAACATCATGTGACACACCTCAGTGTACTTGAAGCAGTTGGATCACATTACTTCCTCATTAAACCTCACRTTAATGTGAGTGTGGTTACAATATTGGTTTTGATCTGCATACCTGTGTTGGTTAACAATACAAAAATGGTTGCATTCTATTGTATCATAACTGTGTTGGCAAAAAATATAACACAGAAACCTTTGCATGACCAAAAGCTTCCTCTTTTCCTTGAATATGGCTTACTTTAATTCGGAAACTGGTTTAAAATCAATGCCTGAAGCAGACAGGGAATTTGCCAATGAAATTATAGTGCTGAACTCTTGAATGCAGAATACTATCTAAGGCAAGCATAGCCAAGCTGATTTTGCTCATTTTAAAAGGAGAATTCATCTAAAAAAGAATGGAGTAAGAAACAAAAAAAAAGCTTCAATTTTTTGAAGCCCATGAAAACTAACAGTGGATTCAAGCAATCAAGGTAACATGAAATACTTCWGCTGTTCCAACATATGGATAGTCCAATGGCAATAGCCAGGATTTGTTTCTCTAGGCCTCTGCAAAGTTCTGCCTTCTCTGTATGGGCAGTGGTCATTTTCAGCTAAACAAGTGCCTATGTATATTCATCTTGTGAGGCATTGATTTAGAAAATTTGTTGTTTATATCGCTCTGTGTTGGCAATTTTCTTGTGAGAGGTTAACATACCATAACACTGTACTAAACTCTGTCACTGCCTTTTAGTACCTTGTTTAGTTTTCCAAAGTTCCAGTATTGGCATGCTACTGATAACAGAAYTGGGATCTTCCTGTGCTGCTGAGTTTACTGTGTCATTTGCACCAATGACCAGAGCCAAGTCTGTATCTCAGACAAAAAGGAAATATATTACAAAATGTGTTATTATGAAAGGAAAAGCCACTGCTTCAAGTTATCAAGACAACACCAAAGCACATTAATCAAGCATACAATAAATGATGACAGTTTGTTGTTTCATCTGAATGAAAAAATTGAATCCATCTGTTGGTGTTCAAACCTAAAATCCAATCTTGGCAGTTCCATGTGCTAATGAAAACTATTAAAAAAATTTCATGCATTCTCTATGCAAGATATCATAAAAATAAATACTCCTAAGACTTAAGAGGCAGTGTTATGCAAGGCCCTGGTGAGGTCACTAAATGGAGCACATGTGTAGAATCTGAGGATGACGTGCATTATGTTATACCACATAGTGTATTTCAACACTGCTTACTTACAGGCCAAGCCTACGTCTCTGTTCTGTTCAGCTCCTCAGTTCCACAGCTCTGCATGCAGGAAGCATTCCATTTACACACAATCCAGGAATGAACATTTGAGCAATTCAAGAGATTCCACCACTTAGGATAGCAGAACACAGCTCAAAAAATTGCTAATAGTTCCTAAAACCTCTACCCACAGTGGTCATGAATGGTATATTTCTAGAGTAACTCTATTGATAAAAACACAGGGTTTAGTTTAGAGCTTTAGCACCAGCAGTATCAAATAGATTACCCATATCCTCCTCATGTTCATTGAGTCCTTCAMGGAGCTCTTAATGGGTTTGTGAAATATGACTAATCCCTCTGCTGAACATAATCACCAACATAATCATCCATGTGCCTACCAACTTATTTTCATTCTTTTYTCAAAGTTGTTCATAGTTTGCCCAGTAAAGTGAAGCCTAATGGTCTGTGCATCTGTTGTGTCTCCTAGAGTCTGAATAAAAATCAGCACCATGTCACAGCTTCCATTTCTCTTGACCTTTCTAACCACAGGGCTGGCTATGCCTCCCAGGAGCCTGGTAACCATGGAAGGATGTTTGGCTGTACCATTTTTCTATCTTCTCTAAGAGCCCTCCAAGCTACTGAGGTGCATGAGCCAAAGGAATTTAGTGTACTGTTACATAGAGAACAACATCCAGGTCTAGGGAAGCCATAGATCTACTCTGAGCCTTGAAGGGAATAAAAGCAGTCTAATACAGAAGTGYCTGATTTCACTGTGGTTTACAAGTTTCCAAAATGCATGTAAATGTAATGTCAACAAACTTACAACATCAGATGCATCAACGCAAGCAGATTGTCCTCATTTTCAGCAATGAAGCGACACCTATTTCAGATATTTATGAAACACAGATACATAATCTTGTCTTYACAATCTGAGTTTATAGGATAAAAAGCGAGTCAAACATTTTGTCAGCTGAAAAAATGTGACATGGAGTCTTCTAGAAGCAGTAAATTCAAAATCCCATGGTACTAAACTTAGCTTTATGAGCTTCCTTTATGAGCTCTCACCTGCATAGCTGTTTAGAAAAAAATAATCTAGTTTGATTCCCATCCATAAAGCTGGGTCCAGCGACGCAAAGCAGCTCTAAACCAGATAGAGCAGTGAAGAATTCTTCTGTGAAGGAAATACAGTCACTGCAAGGAGAATTAAAGATCTGAAAAGGTGCTGTTGAAATTACCAGATCCTCACCTGTCAGTGACCTACATAGTCTCTAGTTTAATAGTCGGCAGCCTCAGGAGAAAGTGAAAGGCAGAGGCAATATAGAGCCATCTCTGCGTTTCTTCCTGATGCTACAGCTCATATTCATCTCCAAAGAAATTATTACAGCTCTTATAGCCTTCCTTACTTATGCTAAGTGGAATATAATAAGAAAGATTTGCCACCCTCACAAACCTAGGACTCATACAAAAAAAAMCCCAAAAGAGACAATTAAGTGAGTGAAAATTAAAACCACAAATCATTAACACCCTAAATATCGATTTTTTTTTAAAATGTGTATATTTTTAACAATGCAGTGTTCTACTTGGAATGCACTATTTTATTACAAGTAAAGCCTCTKACCTTTTAAAAAATAATTTCTTTTACCTTCAGGGGAAGAGTATATCAACATCTTGACTAATAACAAATTTCTAGGACTCTGAGTGTTTTCTGTTGGATTTTTTTAATGTGACTATACAAAATGAACTGCACTTAACATTACTTTCTACAGCAGCCTGCGTTGCTGGGGGAGTTTGGCAATTCTTTTCTTTTTTTTCCATATCCCTCTCCTCTCAGAGGCCCCTCATCATGATGACCCATTCATTTGGCTACGAGCTGCATGCAGCTGCCTCTGAAAAAAGCCAACTGTATTCTTGGGTCAKCTGGAGAAGTCAGCTTGATTACAGCTGTAGGGATATACAGCACTTCCAACGCCTGTAACTTAGGGCACAGAAGACCCAGGATTCCCCTCAGGTTTCAGCAGAGGTGCAGAATATATCAGCTGGCTACATAGCAAGTGCTCAATTGCTTCAGGCAATCCAGTGTACAAAAACTATTATATTTAAGGATTTTCTGCTACATATTTGGAACTATTGTCTTTTGTTCACATGCATTTTGTTCAGAGGCATTTGTAATTTTTTATAATGAAAGAGGAATGATTAGCTGTTGGACAAAGCTTGCCATTCTTAGAGAAATCTCGAACTGAATAGCTGACCACCCTGCATAAATCTCAGCAATGCTGGATTACCCATTTTTAGGAAAAGCAAGTTTGGGGGTTTTTCTAATGAGAATTAACACAATGAGTGAGGCCCAGTGAAGTAACTTCAGTGACTTCATCTCCTATTTCTTTCCTATAAACCAGTACTATTCAAAGGGTAAAAAAACCAAAAACATTTTGGTTTRTGTCCAATTCTTTGTATTTCCACTATCCCCAGTCCTGCACTGAAGGCYTTCATTATTTTTTAAGATGAGGAAAGCTCCCAGAAGAGTGCACAGATATCAAGTGAGTCACTGTTCATTAAGGTCTAATCATAAAGAACAGGATTGACTTATATTGGAGGTGGAATATACATCAATTGCAAAACCCCAGAATTCCAGGATATGACAAATAGTGTAAACTTGATGAAATTAGCCTTAAGGCCTTGATTAACCCCTTTGCCTAATGCTGTATCATTACAGAAGAATGAACAGTACAGTACTACCAAGCTGTATGTTGTGAAGGTGACTAATGATTGTAAAGGTCTGTATTTATGGGCAAAACCAAGAAAGGAATGACTGCTAACATCAGATGAGATACAAGTGGCATAAAAGGACTGAAGAGGTATTCAACAATTGTTGCCTTTGGATTAYCAGCGTGAATTGAATAGATTCAAAGGAAGCAGAAAGAAGATTTTGACTTGATTAATGTGAACAGTGAAATATTCAGTGCTACTCAAGACCTGAGGTAGYTTGGAAAGCCTACTGTTGAGTAATTTGAACAGCAAATATCTGAACCCTCACCCAGAGTAATGACAGAATCAGGCTCCTTTATCACTCCAGCAGCTTGGTTTAATCCAGCTTCAGTGCAAGTTCCAACAATTTCCACAGGTTTCCTTCCTGCTGTAGATGCTCTGCCATATCCACCCAAAAGTGACATTTGGCAAAGATCAGGCCTAAATGTAAATATAGTAAAGGAGCATATTGGTCAAAACAACAGTTCCAAGTCCATTAAAAGAATACCAAAATAAATAGTTCATTTGTTCATTTGCTGTAAATTCCCATGTAGTTTGTTTGGGGAGTCAGACTGCATTATTCCTCAGCTCATTATTTTTCAGCTCATTAAAGTTTACTTTAACAAGCTGTGAAGCTGATACAGAAATGGTTCAACAGCTCAATATTGCATTCCCTTTTTTTGGTTTTTTGGTTTTTGTTTTTTGGTTTGTTTTTTTTTTTTTTTTTTGAAAGCTTCAGGATCCCACTTGGCATAAAAATTACATTTCAAACAGATTTTCAGATACACTTTGGAGAAAACTTTGTTTTTCAGATATTTTTATTTTTGAACAATTTCTCTTCTCCCCCTAAATCACCTTAACATTTTTCACTAGCAAAACAAAGATGTTCTTTGTTTAAATAATATTTCCCATCTTGCACGTTATGAAACAGCACATTTCACATTTCCTCAAAGGCAGTTGCTGGGTGAGATCTTTCAGTGAAGGCCATTCAGTGTTTTCTAAAATATTAATTTACATGGCTGGTTTCACAAGTAAATCACATTGCTGCTATTGTTTTTCCTTGTTTTTTAAGTTCAGTTGCCAGATTTCATGTACTAGGAACTGTTTACTTACAGAAGGGTTGGAACTTGGGCAAAACTATGCAAGGTCTCTTACGGCATAAGATCACCACTTCAATCGGAAGGAATCAACTGTCTCCAAGGCCAGTGATTTGTACTCCAGAATTGAACTGATGGCACATTCACACTGTTCAGTGAAGTGCCACATGTGAGTTATGGGTAAAAAGCAGGGTAAAAGTAAGGAAGWGCTCTCCTGTATTGTATATTGCTTGCAATCCTTCAGTTGTCTGAATCYATCTCTGTAGTGTCATACATCATGCAACCCAGACATACTTTGATTTCTTTGCTGTCATTGGCATTATAGGAGTTTGTTTGCCAAATTTTAATTCTAGAAAACCCACCAGACATCTATATCCAGTTGTCATAACTTTTCTTTTTTTATACTACCAATATAAGCAAAATTCTGTCAGAGAGCCAGCCCAGTCATCCAATGTCCCACAACATCTTATTTGTAAAAGTTTCCAAAGTTGACGCTTTTGTCTTTTTTTATACAGAAAAGATGAAAAACTAGTGGAATTTCCTTACCACACACACAGTGCATGACGGGATAGCTCCATCCAGAGGAGCCAATCAAGACACCCACAGCTGTCAAGACTGGTGTCAAGAAGAAAACCTTCTGGACACAAGGCTCAGCCAGACTAACTGGTATTTGAGTAAAAGGCATAGCTGCTCCACCTCCAGCTGTCAGGCCCTGAAATCTAGTATGCACCATATAAGGGAAATAAAAATTGAATTAATATTTCAAGAAATTATATCATTCTTAAAATATTTACTAAGTGAAACAAAACCAAATAAAGTTCATTCAATCATCCAGTTAGCCGAAGATTGTTACTTTTGACCACTATTGGATTTGGCCATGTAAGCAAATCTGCCTTGAGAATTTTTGCTCAAAGATTATATAGGCATAATAGGAGCTGAAATAATTTGTTACTTTGCAGGACAAGACCCTTACTGTCTTATTTCTTTCCAAAACTGGTCCGCAGTTACAGCAATGGCTAGGATTACATATACATTTGACTAGATAAACATCCAGGGCTTATTTTACAGCACTGCTGCTGGCTAGAAAGTGTTGGATCCCTGCAGTGTGGTTTGTGGGATCCTACGAGGTCTTGCAGACTTGTTAAGGAATTTCTATAGGGCTAGATAAACATTCTGCAGAGTGCTTTGTYGATTTCTCATAGTTCATGCCAATTTTTTCTGTTAACATGCAAGACTGCCTTGTGGAGAGTATTCAGCAAGCGCTGCATGTGCGTGCAAAAAACTTCCATTTGCAATGAAATGGTTCAAGAATTGCTCTCTTGAGACTTTGACGGTAATTGAGGAGAGTCCTGTAACACCAAGACTGCATACTAATCCAGGAGTGCACCTTGGACCCAGTGCCAAAACTGATCATCCTAGCCATGGATGCTGTCAGCAAGCCAGCCAGGGGTGCCCAAGTAAGAAACGGTGCCAAACGCAGCACACTGGAAGTGAGCATGGGTGCTCTAATGCTGTATGGCCTTTAGCACAAAAGTATTTTTAATGCTAAAGCACTAGAAATTAAGACAAGCTACASTACAGACTAAAAATACAAATAATACTAGTCTGCTCGGTGATCAGTTTAGCTGAAAGGAAGATGTACCTATTTCAGACAGAAGACAAAAATTAGGAATTTTTTTTGGAAGGAATTGTCAGAAACGGAGTTGCTCCAGCCTTTTCCTGCCATAGTCTCTGGCTTCTCCTATATCAGCCTTGTTAATTATGAGGAAACAAAAGCAGTTGGGTATGATTGCTTTGCAATATCAAATAGGACAGCARTTATGCAGAACACAAACTTTCAAGAGCTGTATAACTTCACAGTAGGAAATAATTGCTACTTCGGGACCTAAAAGATCTCTTACTACAATTCCTCYGGCCAACAGTTGTTCACATGAGTTTCTTAGGAGTAAAGCTCTACGGAGTCTAAGTCAGATTCTCTGTTAAACAAATACTGTTTAACAAATCCAGAAAAAAAAAAAAAAAACCAAAAATCCTTGAGACCAACATCAGCATCTCTCCTAATCAACACAAAAGCCAAAGTAACTAACATTCTTTTCCTTGTGTTACAGTCCTACCAAATCTGTTAAGCTAAATTGTGTAAGACTGCTTCCCTCTGCTTGTAAAGAGCCTAAAATAATTATCCCCCATCTCCTCCTAGGATCCAACTGGATTTTGTGGAAAACAGAAAAGGGCCTCTAGTGAATTGCATTCTACATTTCATATGAGAGACTGCAGTAAAGAGTACCCAGCAATTTTAACAATAGTCACTAAAGAAGCACTGAAACTACATCCCAATCCCCAATACAGTGCCCAGATGTGCCACAATTTTGAGAACATTGGCAGAAGGGTGAACATCAAGGTGGGGGAATTCAATCCCATACTTGGCAATTCATGTAAGAGTTGCTGCTGCCAAACCAACCAGACTGTGAAATGCAGCTACAGGCTGAGRAAGGTCAGAGATTTCAGTTAATTTTGCAATGGTAAGACCTGCAAAATTGAATTATTTAGATCCAAAATAAAATATTACATTGTGTTTCATACTCAAAGCATAAACAGACCATTGAGCAAGAAAGGACTGTTTACTTATGTTGTTTTCCTCTTCATACAATGAATTAGAAATATAATAGTTATAGGAAATTTTAACCTAATTTAAGTCTTTTCCAAAAATACATTGCTAGAACATTTTGGGATGACAACTTGTAAGAAACAGAGCCAGAACAGTTCCTTTGAAGCCACTGTTTTTCATGTATGGGAGAGAGTTGTGTGGATGTACCCGCCAGAGTTTCCAAACACATTTTGCCGACAGAGAATCAAGGCAGGCAAAACGGCTCTGGATGCATTAGAAGACTGCCATAATCTAAGTGACAAACTGGCAGAGTAGTGCCTTCCCCTCTTCTCTCTTACCAAGTCTCAGGCTCAAGTCTTGAGAATTTCTATTGGCCTTCACACTATCGGATACAAAATCCTCCTTAAAAAATCAGCATTAAAACTGAATTAAAATTTTCAAATTTTTCTTTTTGCATAAATTTATTGCAATTTAGATCAACTGAAGCAGTTGGTAAATTCATAACAAGAAAATTGTTTCATGTGAAAAAACAAATACCAATTTTTCATTTCGGAACAGTATTTGATTTGAACAAAGCAAACTTTTTATGAGCAAATAAGATCTTTCAGCACTTAGATAGAAGTGCCACCTTTAGGAACTCATGTTTTCATGGTATGTATTTTCCTATCCTCTCAAAGAATAGTAAAATAATCAGTAACAAGGATGCTGTGCATTGAGTACATTTACCTTGCAAGAAGAGAACMTGGCCATTGTGCCACCCAGAGCCATGCCCAGAACTTCTGTTGAAGACTTCAGTGCTTCAACTGCTGCTTTCTCCTAAAGCTTTAACATCTCAGTCCTACCAGGGGTGTTCCCAAATCCAGAAGTGTTCTGACTAGACAGCCCTGCCATCCCTCCTGCACAGTAMACAACTGAACAGAAATACATTAGGTGAAAAAATACAAAACACAAAAATCAAAGGAAAACATCAAACATAGTAATAATGTACTTCAAACTCTTTTATAATTTCCAGGAGGACTGAGAACAAATAGCTTATCTTTAAAGATGAGAAAGATTTCTTCTTTGTTTCTTATTGCAAGTGAATATCCGTTTCTGATTATCTGACTTCTGCATATTCCTTTCTTAACATTTTCTGGTTTCTGTATTTCTTTGACACCAATCCACCGAGCAACTATGAAACTAATTAGAATCTCAGCAATTCAGCTCTGGATCCATTGACATATATTTGAGTACATGTTTTCAATTATCATCAACACTGATGTATTGTTTTCTAATATTAGTTTAAAATGCCTCAATTACTGCCTTAGTCTTTATTGTTTTCAGGCACATTCCTTAATACTCTACCCTTACAGAAAAATATTCACCCCTTATTTCAAGCTGAAAAATGAAAAAATTACCTTTGCTACATTGGTCCTGCCCTGAMCTGTGCTCATTTAAAAATGTTATGGCCATTATATTGTCCATGGGTAAAAGTTGTATATTTTATGAAGGTAAATACGAAGTTCTGATTCTCTCACATTTTGATTTTAGATACTTTGATATAAAAAATGCCCGGAAATTTACACATGACCTTATTTAGTAAAAACACAATCATCCGATATTTAAAGAGCACATGGTGACTTAATTTTAAATAATAAACTGTCTTTTAACCTACATCACAGGATAAGTTGAAAGTATGATCCAAAACAATATAGCCAGAAAAATCCATGATGCTCAAATCATAACAGACAGATATAACTGTTCAACAACATTCTTGGAACATTTGGAAAGGTCAAAGACCATGTGTTGGCTGGTATCTGCAAGAAATATTTATGGGCTTTTCAGGAGTCTAAGCCCAAAGGCTTCAAGCTGACAGAAGGGAAACTGTCACATAAGGATATGAGCAATCCTGAGATGGAGAAAGTTTATAGATGTTGTATCCTGAGGAAATCTGGGGTTAAACAGAATAGCTGTGTGACTGTATCGCTGTGGCTTTTACTATGGCTTGTGGAAAGGATGCAACATAAGCAACACAAATTTCCCAGAATACCTCTCAAGCACTCATTTGTAAAACAACTGAAAAAAATTAGCTTCAGTGATTTTACACCTTATTTTGAAGGAGCAACAATGCAGCATATGTTGATCCAGTTTTTATGTAATTATTATCCTCACAATGAATGAGGTCAAAATCTAAGTGTAAGGTACAATCTCCTTTATTTGCATGGAGAATACAAACTGAAAATATCTGCTGCCATTTTCAGTTCAATCTGAACTCCCTCAATCTTTGAAATATTAAGATTTTCTTGATCCATTCCTTCTGTGTATTATAGAAGCAAAATTGTTACTTTATTTTTTAAATGGACAAGCTACTCTATTATGGCAATACAATGTAATTTCAAATAGTAGMGTTCCAATGGAAAACTAATTGTGAAACAACCATTTGGAAAATAAGTTTTGTTACTATGTATTTTGATTGTCATGTCACCTTCTGACAAGTTCCAGGACATCCATTAGATTTTTTCCCCAGTGATGGTCCCATTCGAGAAACTTCAAAGAATTAATGAAATCCAACACCTCATTTTTTCCAGAGTAAGTGCTGAACAATTTTCTAGGATGTTAGAAGCCTTAAGGGCAGGTAAAAAACAGTTCAAGTCTAATTATTAACAGATTGTTATCTTCCCAAAATACTTCCTTTCCCTGTCTTTAGTAAAGATGAATGCCAGTTATGTTCTACCTCTAATAAGAAATACCTCAGTTTTAATAAGTATTGAGCAACACATGCATCTGGATATGGATTCAAAAATAGCAAAGAAGTGCATCTGAGGGTGGCCTTAAAAAATAGCAAATAAAAGTAAATRCCGTCTTTCCTGATAAACTCTCAACTAGCTAGAGATTGGCATCTCAACAAATGAATTAAGTTCATGATGAATATTGCTGCTTTTGTAACTGACTGAACATTACAGAACTGGAAATGCAGAGCTGCTTTCTCTTGAATGAAACATAGCACAGTCAAAGGAATATGCTCAAATAAGGACAGTAGAAAACAAAAAGGCTGTAAAATTGTTTTCCTGGCCCTAGGGATAACAGATTCCATGATCTAATGAAGGATGACAAATATTTGCCCAAATAAGTGAATGGCTTTCCTAGAGGGCTGCTTTTCAAGAGGGCCTGATTCTGCACATACTCCTTGCTCCTTATTGAATGTAGCATTAACATTTCACACAGGACCCAGCTCTTTAATTGCTCAYATTACTCACTTTCTAGCCAAGACCACCCTCCTCGCTTTGGGGGTTACTTAGCTATTGAACAAATTCTACCTTTGTTTTGCTTTGAGAGCTACAGAACTTCRTGCTAGATTATGTTATCTAATTTCTCTGCTTTTCCTAGCCTTGTGTTTTGAAAACTACCCTGTAGTCTTTTTAATGTGTCAATAACGTTTCATCTTCCGTTAAACAGAACCGATCCTGCTGTTGTAAATTCTATSTATCCCATAAGTTTCCCAGCTCTTTCTTTTCTGTGGTTGCAGACTTTGCCTCTACATGCAGTTTTGGGGAGTATTTTAGAGAAATGCTAGAATGWACTTTCTTACCTTTAATCACTGGAACTATTAAACTGTGATTCAGAGCCTCTTTTTTCACCTTTATCACATCACTGATTGACCACAGATATGATTCAGAAACCAACTAGATAGCTTATAAAATAAAGAACAGATAAATAACTGTGGAGTCCTAATCAGCATGACAAACCCACCCCCAGATGTAAGATTTAATCTAGTAGCTTCATTAACTGATTAAACACTTCCCTTTTTTTGGAGATACTTTCCTTTTTAGACTGATCAGGCAGAAAGGATCTGGTTCTATGCAGAGGAAAAAGCAAAGGATACAYACAGACATACCTGAAGTTGCATCAAAATTTATCATCGTTTCTTCTCACTATTTTCATTAATTCTGTTAAACTTCTTCTTTCATCATCTTATCACTCACAAAATTATGTACATTTATTGTAGAGACAATGAGTATAAACATGAAATTGATGCTTATGTTGGCATTCCTATATGATCTTTACACAATCCTTTGGTTGCCAGAAAAATCTGTGTGCATGAATATGTGTCATGAATTTAAAGTAAATATGAAAAAATAATTTAGTGCCAGGAATAAAAGTTTTGAATCAGAAACTCAGAAATTCTAATCTCATTTCTAATTCACTTTGGATAAGACATTAACATTGTTTGGATTTCCTATGGTCCCTTCTAATGAAATTGAACTCAAATCTGTCAGTGAAGCATATGAGAAAGAAGGCAGCAGACAATACACTTGGCAATAATAAATACRATTTCTGGTATGAGAGGCAAATGAAGGCCAGGTGTGTCTCCCTGGGTAGTGTGATAACCTCTATTATAAGCAAGAATAAATCTGGTCACTATTTGATTGAAAAAAGGATTGGGAGAAACAAGCATCAGTCCTAAAATACCTGCCAAACCTATAAAGAAAAAATACCTATGTACGCAGAAGAGTAAAAAAGCACTTTTCTTTATTAATCATAAAATAAAAACAGGCRTAGAACCCAAACCCTACTTCCCCAGAAGTTGTGTCACAGACACCCATGATAGCAGAAGGAATTTCCTGCTCATGCTTTTGCATGAATAACTTGTATACATTGTTTTTGCCAGAAAACTAATTTTGGAATAATAGACTCTTGGCCAACGTGAGAACAAAGTGTGTGCCCCAGCAGTCGGCAGATGCACATGGGACTGCCAAACAAAATTTATGAAATAAAAAAATATTCCACTTGGGCAAATATGGAGAAATGGYTCACCAAAAAAACTCCAAAATTAAATATGTCATAAATTCCCCAGTGGCTTTTCACAACCTTTACTGCATTAGCAGAAATACAGACCACAGTGTAGCATCTGAACATTGTTAAAAGATGCAGACCACACAAAGCGTTCAACAATACTTCCTTGGGAGAAAATATTATTGCTTCCAGTACTASTCTCTTTGACCATATGTGTTAGTGGTTTAAGGAAATGTTTTTCCCTCTTTAGGAAAAGACTAGATCATTTCATTAATCCAAGATAATATGATATTCTACTCAGAGATATATTTTGTCATCACTCACACTAGGTTTTGTTAAGTATACCCAAGTTAGCTCTGAGCAAATCAATGTACAAAATTAATTTCCCTGATCAAGACAAGGCTCAAAATAGCAAGATGTTCCAATCCTATCACTCTTAGAAATTAGTTTAATTTTCAGTTGTACTGTTATTTTAGAAAGTTTTCAACAAAAACTTTAAAACTTATATGCAAATTTGCATTGAGAATACATCTTCAAACAAGGTGGACACTTTGGACAAAACATGGTAAGACCATGACCCTGGGRAGAAGACAGTAAGAGAGGACTTTCTATATGAAGTTTGGTTATGGAAACAGACTTCCATCTCTGCTTTCCTTCTTTAAAATCAACTTTGCACACTGCCAGAACTTGCTTTCCTTGAATTAATAGATATTTCTACTGCTACTCATTCAACTTGAACAGGAGGCCTGAAGGTACCAAACCCTTGAAAAGCTGTGTTATATCTATCCTTTTCTGTTATCATTTGCATTATTCTTTCATTCCATCATTATTTTTAATGCAAAGCAYGTAACAATCTTGTTTATGAGAATAATACTCTTGAACATAATCAAAACCTTGCTATTTGATTCATTTATCCATTCCATACATGTATTTCGACACAGATAATGACATCTGGAGCTATGCAGTATACACAGGCCCTGATCCAAAAGTTTTTGAGAACAGCCTATGTTCATTTCAATTGGCCCTGGATCATAACCTATATGATATTGGCTCTTTATTCATACATAATTAATATCAGAGGAAATTTACTGGCAACAAAAGGCATACAGTAATTCACCAAGAACCTTGAGAAGTGTATTTTTATCTTTTCATTTAATTGGAAGGCAACAGGATGTGATAGCAACCCTGACTTACCACTGTCTGTGGCTTTTCAGTGTTAGTCCACTAACACCTTTCAGGTACTCACTTTATTTTTACATAATTATGCCTAGCATAGCTGATCATTAAAATGTCAACTGGTAACAAAAAATATAGATAAATTCACTTGTACTTCTTACATAAATTTCAGTAGTGGTCATAATTTTCCTAGACTAAAAGGATATAACWCCTCCTGATCTTGCTCTAATACTTTTTTTTTTTTTTAATAGAAAAGGTGCTGTCCCTGGGAAAAGTTATCTAAATAATACTTTACATTTTTCTGTTGCAGAACAAAACAATCATTAAGATGGATTCCTATTGTCTTTATATAATGGGCTGACTGTTTCAGCAAAATTCTGTCAGATTACTCATTTTTCCTTCTGAAATTACCGGGATTACTCACATGAGTAAATAGAATGGGATTTGGCTTTTACCTTATACTGATTACTATAACCCTTGATCTGCTAAATAGCACCAACCACTGAATGCAGTCAGTTGTAAAAAGCAATTTTGTGTTCTTACTAAACCAGTTTTGGCCTGGTATATTTCAGATGTAATATACTTACCACTGAAGGAGGAAAACAGCAAGCAATAAAAAAAATTAAAAAGTAAAGAAAACACAAAAAAACCCACAGAAAACGAACATTTAAAAAGATAACCTACCTAAATCCTAGACTCTGTTGCGTAAAAGTTTGACATGAATATGCTTCTCTTTACAAACACTTCCTTAGCAGAAAAGTAATTCCAGTCTGCCAATATGTAAATGTTTAGCATGACTGTACTTTGTTTTATTGCTACCTGAAGGCAAATACGGATTCCYGTCAATCTTCAATTCACCACGACTACAGAAATTAATTTTTTGTCTTAACTACATCCAAAATAAACTTGACTGAAAAAGAATCAGTTTATCTCAAGAAATATCTCGCATACAGAAAATTGCACACAARTAATATCAGTTTTCACAGATCTTAAGGCTGCCTCCTAATTTAACTAGTGTATCTGGTTCCTTTTTTCCACCAAAGTAAGGGGCTGAAGGACAGAGGAAGGCATGAGGGCTGCTGCCATTACAGTGGAGACTACACGGGGAATAGCCTAATGATRTCATATCTGGGTTGAAATATGGTTGATAATCTCAGGCTCATTTCAACAGAAAACCACCTTCTCTTTGTAAGTAGCAATACTCCACCTCTTCTGACCTTGGGGCAAAGATGTAGTAAGTGTCACCAGACCATTTGGCCTTTCAAGTACTTGCACTGCTTGAAGTCCTTTTGTGTATTACACRCAGCTCACCTATTCCTACTTACCAGCTCCTTCCTTTAATACATGTGCATTAAAGTCCATGWACTTAGCACTCCAAGTTCTATTGCTAAGGCAGAGCCCAGTAGCTCAGGAGATGGGCTGATTCTCAAAACTCATCCTTTAAAAAAAAACGAGTTTAAGGGACAGCAGTAATTTTAGAGTATTGACATTTTTATAAGTCTTTTTGCCCCATATTTTACTGCTTGAAAATAGCAAGAAATTCCCTTCCCAACATTATCGTGTAGATATTGAATGATAGTATTTCCTCAGAATGACTAAACTCCCKAACAAAATCACTGCTTTCAGACAACACATTTTATATTTTTTATCAAAAATGCTTTAGTGTTGAAACTCACCTTTATTACCCAAATTCCTCTAGTGACATGATCAATAGTCCCATAATCTAAATCGTCCTTTTGTTCAAAGTTAAAATATTCTTTCTCAGGAGAAACAGCTTTAACAATTTCAAGATGTTGTTGGAAAAAAGGCTACTGGCTTGACTAGCCGTTCTACTTGGCAAATCCTTGTAACCAGTGTTCACCACACCCTGATGAGAAAGCAAAATAAATAGTTGTCAAAGCTTTCATGTGCTGGAAACTTTTCACATGTTCTCCACAAATCTGATGCCTGCTTTATACATGCTAGTAAATCAAATTTGCATATTACTACAGACATGAGATACTAAAGCTTTCTTTTACAAGTTAAGGTTTCTGTGTAAAACTAATAGCTTACTCTGATGCATGACCAAAGAAAGTCAGCAATTTTGTCAGGAAGCCAGAGATTAAATGAGCTGGGAGGCCAGACAGGGAACGGGTTACAAAACCATATGGTGCTTATTTTTGAGAATAAGAAATCAAGTACTTCTTCAAATGCAAAACCACCTCATGATTATCTGATAAGAATCACATTGCACAATGTGTTTCACAGATTAATTGTACTCCAGTCAATCCCAAGGAAGAAGATAGTGATACCTTTGRAACTTAAATTCCTTGCAAGTACATCTGCATTAATATTATGTCTCTAGCATCCCTACATATTATTATGAAAGCAGAACATCAAAGAAACCCAAACAAATTCTAATGCCATGCTCTGAAAACAATTTACATTTAATTCTGACCTTGAATGCTGCACCCTGAATTTGTGTTTCTTTCTTTCATTGCACCATTCCAGGATAGCCATTTGAACATTAAACTCACGAGTTCATCTTATATGAAGTCACACRCATTGGCTTCCATACACATCCTGAAGTAAATCACAACGTAATAGTCAAGTATGGCAGTCCCAGAAGCCACCCATACCAGGTAAAATTGAAATAATGTAGTTGGACACTTCTAGCTCTCCACAAAAGCCATTGCAGCTTTCTGCTACCTGGGGGACAGTGGCAGCAAGCATTCTGCTTTAGAGCCCATTCCTCAGCTTGGTTCCTGGTGAGACTTACCCTTCTTGGGTAAATTTCAAAATTCTGAACTGATAATATATTTAATTGCTTCAACTAATGGGTCTTTACAAACATTTAATTGCACCTTTATATCATCTTATCATTATGCACTACATGACTTTCCTGCAGCACTCTGGAACTTAGYCCTCACCTAAAAATTATATTCATTTTAATGGGAATACAATAAAATCTACCATTCACTTTAAAAACTGTTCTATGCTGCTACTTTAAAATAGTGAAATTAAGAAAATCTCTGAATTGATTTTTCTTTTCCTATATCTGGAATTGAATACTCCAAATACTTGTTAATAAAATTCTAGGAATTAATTACTTTAAAATAATTATTTTTAATATACAAATCAATAATTTGAAGTTTGTCTTAATTAGCAATAAATTAACTAAAAATTCTGCTAGTCCCCTGAAAGAAAGAAACCTTCCACATTGTTTTTGAATGACCATGTTTTGCTTCAGTGCAAAGCACAGCAGAATTTCGACCAGAATGTTTTATAAAGTGTTAAGCAGTGTTCTAGATTCTAAGCCATATTTTCTTACTCCACCTGGTATCAAATCCCCTGACAGCAATTCCCATTGCTTTGGCAGCTACTGCTGCAGTCAGCCCAGCAACGCCACCACCAATTATCAGCATTCAGAGAGATCAAACAGAGAGTAAAGTGCATTCTATGTTCACTTATTCCATCACATGCTGGGTCTGCAATATGCCTTATCTTCAAAAGCACTTGAACTTTAAAGAGCATCAGAGGCTAAAAATTGTTAAGTACTTCAGAGAAATAAAAAAAATTAAATCTTATCTCAACAATACAACATGGTTAAACAGCTGGTTTGGTCTGTAAGAGCAGGTGGTCATCTGGGCAAAATGTACCAGATGTTGAAAATAAGAGAAAAAAGGTAGAAAATGTAAGTTAAACAGAACATGATTAGAGGCACTTTTTCTGTTCCACAGGATATAGACTTTAACTCAGACTTCGAGAGCAAAGGTTGCTGACATTATTTGTCCAGTTATGCAAATGCTTTCCTTTACTGTAGCTCTTCTCAGCTATCAATTCTGACAGATACCTACAACGGGTGTCAGAGGGCAGGGTTCAGTCTCACAATGAAGAAACAGATTGCCATAAGGCCCTTTAAAAAACAGTGAACATCCTTCTGAAGCAATGGGACAATGCATTTTTTACACGGAACATAACTGATCAGGCATTTGCCAAAACAAAATGAAAAATACATTGCTGAACTTAGATATACATAAGACATTTACTACAAATTTCAATTGCCCTTGGCCACACTGTATTAAGGCAGGTGAGAACAAGCAGAAGTCCTTGATGTTGATGTTCTGCCCAAGGAGAAGCAATACAGTATCATCTTTRGGACCATCCTGGCAGTAATCTAGCCCTGAGACCTTGTGGAAATCTTAAAAGGTTTTGTTTGAAGGGGTTTTTTTGGGTTTTTTTTTCACTCCTTGAGAAATTAAATATAACTGATTTCTTCAGAAGACTTATGTAGGTATGTAGTARTTTGAACAAGAGCTGCAGTTGTTTTGTGCTTGTTAACAAAAGATTTTCAAACCAGGTACATAGAGGGTTTCTCAGTCCTTTCATGTATTTGGCCTAAAGGCCAAGCAACCTCAAGATYTCACTCAACAAAACTGAACAATTTGAAAACCCAGTTATCATCTTTATACTATCCTTACTTTAAACCTTTTTCTCCTTCTTTCAAAGCTTAAAAATCAAACTAAGCTGGGCATGAGAGTAAAATCCTCTTTATCCTAAAAGAGTAACAGATACAAAACCAATTTAATATCAGTGATCTAAATGCTGAAGCAAGATGCAACCAGAGCAACTCTCCTCATTCCTTGGTTATAGATAGCAGAAAAGTCAGACCACTGTCAGTACTGCCGGAGAAAGTAGCTATTCTGGGAATTCCTTTACAACTCGAGAAAATTAATATTCTGTAGCTAAAGGTAAGAGATATTTTTTCCTTACTGAAGTTAATAACAAAATTTGTACTGGCTTTAATGAAGAGAAATTTCACGCAGTGGATGGAAATGAAAGACTGGCAAAAACAAGAATTGCTAATACCTTGGTTGAGCCAGAGCAAGACAGCCATTGCATACACATGCTTTCTGTACTAGAGAAAAAATTGTTTTTCTTCTGTGGGTACCATCTGATTCAGTGTCATAGCCATATAACTGAGGTAATAATTTATTTTGGTATAAAGGCAAATAAAAGGATAAATGTTAAAACCAAATATTTTAAGAGAAGTTGGTGTTAAAAAAAAAAAACCCAACATTGTTTAAGGCCCTGTGTTAGAACATTGGAGGGAAATCAGAGAGTTTGACACAAGGTTAATTAGATTTAAATAGTTTCAGGGAGAGAGAGAGAATGTGCAACAGGAAAATACTATTCATCTTTGTAGCCAGATTGCTTAAATTTACCAGAGCTGTCATCGAGACCTTTTAGAGACTAGTTGCATGATTTTGTTTATGGTTCTGTAAAGAGAAACAATATTGACTGCTGACATTTATCATGCCTTGTAATTTTTCCTCCCCTTAACTTCACTGTGGTTGACTACATGAAAAGTGATTTGTTTTGCTCCATCTTCTTTGGCAAGAAAAAAAGAAGACTAGCCCTTGCAATAAGGTAAGAAGATGCAACTGAAGGCCCTAATCTAGATCATARAGGCTCTTTCAACTGCAAACACCACACAATCTCACTCCAAGACAGAAAAAATATGGTAGATTGTTTCTTATGATTTACTGGAAGTGAGGAGGGCTAAACCAGGGAAAATACATAATAAAGAGACCCCTTCCATTCACTGGGAAGCAGATGGGTCACAGAAAACTGCTTTGCACCATTGTGCTGATCTGGCCAGAGTCAGAGTTGGTACTTAGACAAAGGGGTCACTGCCATCATTTGCCTAGAGCTGGTTCCATCTGAATCTGTGTGAGGTTTCTCATTGGGATGATAGGAGAAATCTTGACATCAGAAAACCTAAAACATCAGACCAGACACAACTTATTCTTAAAGCTCATCAAAATTTGAGGAAAGTTTTTCATTGAAGTTTAGATATTGTACAATTTAACACTAAAAGTTAAGCTCATTGTTTACAGATACTCAAGCCACTTAAGGTATCCAAGTCCTGGACAATTTTTGTGTAAATAAAAATCCTGGGGAAAAGTTGTTGTTCTTGTACACATATGATGCTTACAGCTAAGCAGGGGTGGCCCAGGGATGGGCCCAAACATCCTCCTTGCTATGAAAGGGCATTTAAATTTTTCCTTTATACAGAGAGCAGAAAAGAAATGCATAAAATTACTTTGCTACAGCCTGTTATGCATGACGTGGAACACAGGCCTACATTCACTCTGTACCTCCATAGTGGAATGCTTATCACAGTGATTTGAAAAACCTTTTTCAGATGATTTATGGATACAGCAGTGGCAAGGCAGCAAGTGGCAGGGAAAATGCCTTGTTCAATGAAGCAGTAATGGGTTTGTTACCTTTACCAAATTGATTCTGCTTCAGGTGAACTGGTTCAAATTTAAAACCATTTCAATATGCAGCATATGTACATAAATAATTGGTTCAGCATTCAAACTAGTTGTTTGTGTTTGGCAGTTTTTTAATGAATTCCTTATAGAAAGCTAACTGGCTTTGAAATCAGGTCCAAATCCAAATTGTTTCAAAATGTGCCTTATATTGAATGACAACTGGTCTTGAGTGTTGTTTGGCCACTAATACAATGTGATACTACATGGGGAGCCAGAATTCAGTACCAGCAGGGAGAATTTTGCACCTTTAGTTGTCAGAGGCTGCAGTTTTGGAAAGGTAACAAATTCTTTTACTCAATTCATACTGTCCCTGGGGCAAAGCCTTAAAATAACCACAGTAGCTTCAAGGACAGTATTACAGGTCTTTGCATGTTGTGATCAGTTCACACTTTCCATTGCAAACAATCTTAGATTACAGTCCCACTTATGTGAGAGATTACCATGGAAAAACAATAAAAAGTGGTATGYTAAAGCTATGCCAAATATAAGGCACATTTATCATGCTGTCAATGGAATTTTTTTTACCATATGTCTCAATGGATTTACTAAAATTACTTTTGTTTTATACCTATAATAGCTGCAGGTCTTAGACCATGGATAACGTATTTCACAAAAAGAAAGACTGTTGTTCAAGCAGCAGGAAAAAACCCAAAACACATGACAAATGTGCCCTAGAAAAAAAAGCTCAACCTTTTGGGAAAGCACTCAAAACCATTTCTCTAGACCTGTTTGTGCAAAGGTGAAGCCAGAAAACRGGGGAGTTCTAAAGCTCAAATTGCTATGGTTTCTAAACTGATGATCATATTTAGTTGGCACAAATTAGTCCTCAGAATAAATATAGTCCCATCATTCACAAATTACAAACTTACCTTCAAAACCTGTCTTCTCTACATTTTTCAGCAGAGAATTTTGCCTTTTTGTCAGCTTTATGTTCCACTTTCAATTTTAGTTGTTGTTTTACCAAGGACTACACACCAGGAGGACAGTGCAGCCCACTTCTCACTGTGACATTTCTTTGGCAAATCCCACTTAGGTATTCACTATTAAGTTCTTATAGTGCAAACCTCTAAAACAGAAGGTATAACTAAATACAAAGACATTTCTTCCTTCCCAGACCATATCAATTTCGTTTTTATTTAATTCCAAAGGCACAAATTTCAACATCCAATAGATGTCAGCAGACACGATTTCTCTGAAGTTTGAAAATTCCATCCATATACCCAAGCCAGTAAAGTTTTATGCACATACATTAATCTTAAAGAGGTATAATCACTGTTTGACCTTAGTGGGATGGTTAGCGTGAGAGAAGGTGGCAGGATTGGGCCCCAAGTTTTCATAAATAATACAGAACATCTCCAGATGAACATTCCACTGTTAGTTTTTATAGTGCCTTCCACAGCCAGCCCACATGGTCTCTCACACACATTCATAGATGCCAGAACAATAACAAATTAAAGTTTGGTTTATAAAAGGGCCTTGGCTCAGATGCTGCTTATACAAGTTTGCATGCTGTTTACCCTTAAAAAGGTGTGGAACTGACCACAATGAGGTGACAACCTCAATTCCACTCACACATGAGGTGAGAAAACCAATAACAAAACTGTGGGATTAGGAAAGGACACTTTGTTTCTCCTGGCTTGTATGTGAATAAAGTGTGTTTTGGTAAAAAAGAAATGAAATCACATTGTGAAGCAGACTAAGGAACTCTTCCTCCTTAGTACACATATGTAAACATTTTACATATAAGTAGATAAGGAATATATAGAAATATATATGTCTGATTGTACACACATACTCATACTAAACACGATGATCCACGGAAGGATGAAATCCCAATTATTGCCCTACTTTACCATCCTTTGCACTCAGTGAAGATTTTCCTTGACTTTAGAGAAACTGGATTTCTAAGCATTACACTCCCTCTGTGCTGAGCACTGGTGCAAGCACAACAACATTATACCAAAACCCTGCCTGTGGGTTTTCAAAACAGGGTTTCAGTGAAGGGTTACATTCTGCTTCCCTGAACTATTTAGATTTACCTTCACCGACTTGATCCTCCAGAATACTCTTAAAATCCAATGTTGTCTGTTAAAGTAGTATGCACAGAGAATAAGGAAAATACCTTGGAAGGTGAATCCGTTTCATCCAAGTACTGTTTCTGTACAATTCAACATGAATGTTCTTACAAACGTGAAGTAGACCTGAAATTTATCCCCAAATTAGAATATTTAAAAAGGGAAACAAAAGTCTCACTACACCCATAAAATTTCAAAGGCTTTTCTGTCATTTTTTGTTTTTAAATATTTCATACAACCAAATGTGTGATTGAAGATATCTCCATAAAACTTGGTTGTCCCCATAATTAACTGGGGATACCCCAAGCTATATTAATTACTAACAGAGATGCAAAAACTAAAATATGTTTGCTTAAACATACACAGTCAGTTCAATGCCAGACAACATTCTAGAAGAGATTACACAGACCAAGCAGATACATGTGGCAGGGACATTTCTATTAGAAACACTCTAAACAAAGCCATTTAGTACMGAGTATATTTTGCCTAAAAGATATACACATGGCATTAGAGCAAAGCTAGAAACAACTATAAGAACTTTAATTGACTAAAAAAATAACTGCCAGTATTTATAATTCTACAAAGAAAAGTATCAAAATGAGTTCACTGGAAAAAATCTCAGTTCTATCCTGSACATATGCACATGATGTTTTGAGGCCACTAAGGCAGCAAAGGACTAAAATAAAATACTTTTCTTTTTTAAGTAAAAAGGAAAACCTTGATTTGTGAAGATTTCCACAGAAAAATAGAAGGTTTTTGTAACAATTTTGATAAGATACATAACCAAGTTTGTTAAATATAGAAAAAATGCTTCAGATACACTCCCCAAATTAATAGCTCTTCCCTGTCTTTGGGGAGAAAGGCAGTAATTCTTCACTATYAGCAATTACTGTACACAATGAACTTGCAGTAATCTCAGTTGCTTGGTTAATGAGTAGCAAGTAAAGTAAAGCAAAATCTYCCTCTAATCCCTGCCTATTTGCTGTGGGAAGGAAAGAAATAAACAGAATACCTCTGATGCAAGATCTAAGTAACCCAAAGGGAAAGCAAAAATAGATTCTGGAAATGCTTAACCTATATCCTGTTCTACCCCATATGGCTAATGGAATTATAGAAGTCTAAGAAACAAAAGATTTAACCCACAGTAATTTTTATATCCTTGATACTTCTAAGGTCAAACAGAAAGACACTGTTCTCATTTTATTTACTAATAAGAACATTCTAATATTTTGCAAACTGGCTGCACAATATAGGAAGAACTGGTTTCCAGCACCAGCTTTCAATCTGTAGTCAATTCTATACGTCATCTATATCAACTTCCACTCTTTGATGTTATGACAGCACTACAGACCAGCATCTGGTCTTTGAATTTAGATTCCAGTTTTATATTGGAAATGGTATTTTTATTTATATACCAAATTTGAAAAGGCTTAATCCTCAGATTCCTTGCACAACCTATCACTGCTTCAGTGTCAGGCAAGTCACAAACACTATTGCCCAAAAGTGAAATACTATTCTAGAAGTTTGTGCAGAATAGGTAACATTGATAAAAAACATTCTAAACCTATTATTTCTGTTAATACAATTCTTTCCATAGCCATTTTTGGGGGAAAKAAAAGGTCKTTTTTATTATTATTTCTATATATGCAAAAGCAGTAAAAGTTCTGGCAGGCCTAGAATCAACAGGATCCAAATCTCCATAAGACATTTTGAAAATTGGCAGACTTTAGCTKGAGAGCAAGCTCATGAAACAGATATTTTCAGACTCATACTTCTCCTCTTTAGTAAACTTGTCATTGTAATACCTTATTCTCAACCTAAAYCTGTGTGCATTTCTGACCTCACTAACATAGCTATCACCAAAAGGAAAAAGGAAAATAARAAGGATTCTTCAGCAMCATGAACCAACAAATTAAAAACCAAACAATTCATTCTAAGCCCGGTGAAAGGCTATAATCAAGCCAGAATGGGAGCTGAAGCTGAATATTAATGCTTTTTCTTATACACTCATTTCCTTTACCAAGCTGGAGATTAATTTCAAATTGGTGCTAATGAAACATCGCATTGTCTAAATCTGGAGCTTCATGAGTTCCCATCAGTATCTTTTACTTGCAAACTTACCTGTTTTAGGCCTGACCCTCCTTTGAGCACATTTTAGCAGATGGTCCAATTACATTGGGTACTAAGAGGTACAAAAGAATAGACTACAGACAGTACATCAAGTAAATGAGCTGATAAAAATAACACTTAAATTTTGAATGCTTGCCTAAGATAATTAACATTAGCATAGGGTAAATATAAAGTTCTCAATTTGTAGAGCAGAAAGAATAATTACAGGAAACTTTACTACAGCATTTGGAGAATTCAGATACCTTTCTTCATTCCATGGTTGTAACTAGGATATGCTGTTTGTTGAGTTTTGAGTTTTTTTAATTTGTTTGCAGGGGTGTCACTACTTGTATAGCAAAAGGGAGTTAAAGGCCTCTTTTAGGAGCAGAAATTAATGTGATAGATTTTATGAAAAATGTTTAGGCTTACAGGTACTCACACAATTAGTTTTCTAGTGGCTACCTCAAAATCAGCCAATGGTGTATATCTGTCAGTGACAGCAAGCCTTGCTGCAGGCCTTTTGTTCGTGTATTTACTCTGCCTTTCAGAAGTCTGCCATGGATTACAGTGAAGAATGCTGCTAATCTCGTTTAATTATGCCTGCAATAGTTTGAAAAAAAAGTGGCACACACAAAAGCATACACATTTAATACCACAGTTTTATAGAGGTCTGGCTAATTCAGTTCTAAGAACAGGAACTGCACTTGAGCAATATTCYTCACATGATTCATTACAGTTTTGCCGCAAAGGCTTCCTGCCATAGGAAATATTTTCGTTTTTCCATTTTATTTAATTTTTTAACATTCTCCAARCACTTCAAATAAAATAGTGTAATTCCCATATTCTATTGATTTTTCTTCATGTTTTCTCTTTTTTTTTATTGAAATGTTCCAAGAATGTCCCTAAGGAAGCAATAGCATATTAATTATTGTTTGGTTTATTCTTACAAGAAGAGTAATTTAGATTATTTTATTATGTTCCAGACAATGATTGCCTAACCAGATAATGTAAGCAAAGTAAAGTAAACTGGAAACTAAGCTTAATTACAAAAACAATCGCTTGGATTGCAATTGTGGTTGAGAAAYGCCAATTAATTAAGTTCACAATGCAGGGATGATTATCACAATATCACAGTGATAAACAAGCTATGCAGAAAAAAAGCTTTCACYAAGGAGTAAATAATGCAATTGAAGAAAGGTTGTAAATAAGTAGTATCTCTGCAGGACTCCTGATCTTGGTTTTATTGGCCACAAGACTGTGTSCCAGATAAAAATATTATGGTGGCCAAATGGGTGTTTTAACTTATACCAGATACATAATTCACCAGGTAACACTAGGTCGTCCGGTAAAAACAGACACACATACTCTTATCCTGTTCTATTTGGCATCACAGTGATAAAATAGTGCCACAATCATTATTTCAGCCCAACATACCTGAAGATGATCCTCTGGAACCATATACACAAGTGTTAAAGGCAGCCTGCATCACTCTCAGTGTGCAAAGTAGGAACTTTAGAACTCAGACCCTGTGTTCATAGAAGTAGATTCAGTAAAATCAGTTTCATACTATTTGGAAAAAATGCATTTCAGTAGTTATAAATTGTTCACCATCATGAAGTAAATTTGGTAGATTACAGGTAGATTTGAAAAGAGATTGTGGGGGATTTGTTTACTTAAAACTTTTCCAGGACAGTGCATTTCTTAACATTGCTTGAAAGGTACTGAAAGACTCAACATGAAACCAAAAGGAAGGCAAGAAGATGGGACTGACTAAGACAAGCTGAGAAGGAACATCCTCTAAAGTTTTGTTCTATTTTCAATTGCATGAATGACCACACGTTTCAATTCATTCCACTGACAGCTTAATTACATAAACAAGTCTACTAGGCCTGATGAGATGCATCCCAAAGTCCTGAAAGAATTGGCTGATGTAGTCGTGAAGAATTTCTCAATCATACTTGAAAAGTCAAGGCAGTCAGGCAAAGTCCCAGTAACTGGAAAAATGGGAATATCTCACCCATTTTTAAAGAGGATARTAAGAAGGACCACGGGAGCCACCAGCCAGTCATCCTCATTTCAGTGCCCAGTCACATCATGGAACATCCTCCTGGAAGTTATGTTGCCACTCACATCAGAGTCTGCAAGGACAGGACAAACTGGTTTAAAGTGAATGGGGGTAGATTTAGATTGGCTCTAAGGAAGAAATTAATTATTGAGACACTRGAACAGGTTGTCCAGAGAAGTTGTGAATGTCCCATCCCTGGAAGTGCACAAACCTGATCTAGGTGGAAGATGTCCCAGCCCATGGCAGGTGGTTGGACTAGAGGACCTTTAATTCCAATTCAAATTCAAACTAATCTTAGACATCTTTTAGATGCAGATCCTGAACAATGCCCCTTTCATCAGAAGGATAGAAACATTTTCACAAGGTGTTTCAGCTGCCACATCTCAGGCTTTTTTAGGAGGAATATTATCTTTTAGAGGGACACAGCCAGGGTCAACACTTCTGGAAAAAAAAAAAAAAAACCAGCTGCACACCGAACAATTCTAGGAGAAAAAACAGTATTTTATGAACATTGTCCATTGGAAAGAGAAGCAATATGCAAATACAAGACTGTTACATTACAAATATTCTGACAGTAAATATGTCATACCAAACTTCTGGAAATATTAACATTTAATGCACTCTTGCATCCCCCCTCCAAAAAGGATGCATAATCTCTGAGCACATCAATAGTATTGTGAAAGCAACTTTTCTGAAGAAAGATCCCTTCAGAAGAACTGTCCAAAACACACGAATAGACTGATTTCTGAGAATTCTAAGCATTCACTACTAAAGAAGATTACTTAGCCACTTAAAAATGACATCTACTGAAATCATTCTGCTTTGCAGCAAAAAACCGAACTTATGAACTATGAGGTAAAAGAYAGAGATAYGTTTTGATTTGGGKTTTTTTGGTTTGGGRTTTCTAAAAAATAAATCTTATATTAGGCAAGATTTGTTCTCAAATTTTCCCAAGACAAATGAATAATACCTTGTTACAACATCCCCACATCCTGTATATTATTGTAAAATCTAACTTCTGAGTTGTCATTGATGCATTTAAAAAAAATTAAGTATAGAGTATATATATATATATATATAAAGTTAATATTTGTTCATTTCAAAAATGATTTAGMCTTTTAAAATGGCTTAAGTCTACAGATTCCATGTACAATGATTACAAGATTTCATAGTAAAGTTACTGTCACCTTTCATTTGGTATTGGAATGAAATTATGCTAAAAGARRAAAATAACTTRCTWTTTTTTTTTCAWYTCAAATTCAATGGAAAGTTTKAAAATAAAGAGAAATTACAAATATGGGATGGGATTCAGTATCTTCCAAAGCATTATTTTATTCAGTGTGCAAAGGRCAGATTACATAGTTATTTTTAAAGTAATTTACCTTATTGTAAACACTTTTTGGCTAAAGGAGCTATCTTGACATCCAGAAGCAGTTTGMGATATCACAAGATTACAGGATTATGAATAATAAAACATCAAGAAGCTCTACTTCCTCTCCCTGTTGCTATAAGTAACAATGTTTTTTCTCCATTCTCAATTTATTTGCAYTACTTCCATCTTTTAATGTAAATATTTTACATTCTGGAAGTAGTGATCAACATGACAGTTCATCTTTATTTCATGTTACCAGAGACCCCAGATCTTATCCAGTGTTACACCGATACATCATACAGCTCTATATGTACACCACTCCAATTTAAATGTACTTTCACTGACCTGGTGAGCTAACTTGTTTATAAATCATCATTACTACAGGTGTTTCTTGCCTCAAGATATGTAAGAATCAAACATCTCATATGAAACAGCTTTTCCAACACAAACCACACAAGATTGAAACCAAATGTTAACCAATAACATCAGTAAGTAAATAAAACTATTTTCATGAAGTCTGAGAACTTGAAAGCACTCAAGACAATCTAGACCACTTTCTGCCCCAAGATAGTATCAAGTCTATGCATGAAATTTCTGAAAATGTCAAGAACTATGGACACTACAATATTTTAGGAAATGTATTTCATTTCCATTTATCTCAATTCACCAAGTATCTGGTTTAATTTATCTGCATTTATACATCTTCTTCACAAGAGACATTCATCTACTTTGGGTTTGCAACCATCTTTTACATATCAAAGAACTGATATAAAAAGTTTCAATGAAGAAAGGCCAGTTCCACTTGTCTTTCCTTGTAAGTCATATTTCCTGAGCACTAAGTCATTTTTATTCTTCATCTTGGTGAGTAATTCCCTTCATTGGCTTCACACCTTCCCTTAAATGTGACAACCACTTATGCAATACTTACCTTTCCAGACAGAGAAGTACACATACCCGTCTCCAAATACTCCTACAAAACAGACCAGTACCCACCTAACAGTAGATGCATCAAGACTAAGTTTTATTAGCCTGCTTAAACGAACCTCAGAGTTGAGATACATGTCAAACTGCTTCTCCTCTAGTCAGAGATAAGGGCTAATGCCCTGGCAGAGAGAAATTAAGCTAGCTCAGTATAACTGCTCTGTGAAAAACTTGTTCTGAGTGTTAATCACCTTGATTTTTGTTTGTTTTGTTGTTTTTTTTTTAAATTTTTTTTTAATGGGAACTGGGCTAAAGTTCATGTATCCATAACATCGTACCTGCTTTCTCTCCCTTCCCAGACACTGACATTTCTCTCCTCCCATTCTTTTGCATCTTAACTAGCCATAAAAAAAATTCCAATGTATAGTCCTGAATATTGCWTTAACTGGCAGTAATAAAGCCTCACAATAGACACATTAGACTTGTTACTTTGCTKTTAAATGGATTGCTTGCATGTCTCTTGTATATGGCAACCTAGAGTAAGAAAACAGTCTCAATGAGACAGATTC